TTCCCCTCCAATCCTACCCAGCCTGGGCTTCCTGTGAGCAAGCCTCCATCTAGCCAGTGTGCAAATCCCAGGCGGACAGCAACACTCCCTCCTCCCCCGTGGAGCCGTTGGAACTACGCTTGACCACCTGTGAGGAGGTGCTGACCACACACGCTAAGGCCACCTGGCAAAGCAGTACCACAAACTCCCCTTTCCCACCCAGTGCCTGTGACCGATTAAGCGACTTGGAACCCAAGACCTGGGACTTCCACAAGGCTCACGGGAGTGGGGACAGAGGTCCTAAGTTATCACATGAGGAATGGGAAGCAGAAAGCATGGTGAAACACAAGGGGGTGGAGGAGAGGAGACAAACCCTCCTCCAAAAATTCGGTTAATATCACAATGCGCTATGAGCAAGACACAGCACGGGCCCTGCCGCGGGCTTTCCATTGTACTGGGGCGTAATATTCACACACAGGTTACAAGAACCGGTAGGTGAGCAGTGGGGCCAGGAGCCATCCTCCCGAGGGCAGTGGCGCCCAGCTTCTCGCCTCTATGGCAGAACCCAGAGGGGAGAGGGCCCTGGGGCTAAAATGAACCCCTCGGGAAATAAGGCTCAGGCCACTCCTTTCCATCTTGACTTGTTTTCTAGCATTTCTACAATCAGTGAAAACCACAAAATTACTCTGGTTAAAATATATTGTAAATTAATGTTAATAAACTAAGACCAGCCGGCGCCGCGGCTCACTAGGCTAATCCTCCACCTAGCGGCGCCAGCACACCGGGTTCTAGTCCCGGTCGGGGCGCCGGATTCTGTCCCGGTTGCCCCTCTTCCAGGCCAGCTCTCTGCTGTGGCCAGGGAGTGCAGTGGAGGATGGCCCAGGTGCTTGGGCCCTGCACCCCATGGGAGACCAGGAAAAGCACCTGGCTCCTGGCTCCTGCCATCGGATCAGCGCGGTGCACCGGCCGCAGCGCGCCGGCCCTGGCGGCCATTGGAGGGTGAACCAATGGCAAAAGGAAGACCTTTCTCTCTGTCTCTCTCTCACTGTCCACTCTGCCTGTCAAAAAAAAAAAAAAAATTAAGACCAAAGTTTAAACCATCTTTGTCTTCCTAAAAGTAACAAAACTGCCCCAGCGTCAGTCACCACGGACAGCTGCCTGGGAAGGGCAGGGCGGACCGACCCCCAAGGACTCAGTGCCCACGCCTGTGTGCCAGGCCCCACGGAGCGGGGTCTGCAGCGGCTGAGATGCTAGTCCATCAAAGAGTCGAGGGAGCATCTCCACAGGCCTCTTACCTCTGCACACACTCCTTCACTACCTCGTACTGGCCGATGGACGCAGCTGTGTGAAGATCCAAGGGCACGTCCAGTTCCTCGCGGCTGACCTGCGCACCTGGCCCGTGCCACATGGACAGGCTGCGGTCCAGGAGTTCCGGCTCACTGGCCTCATCGCTGAGCTCGGACATCTCTGTGGAGGGAGGCCAGGGGTTAGCTCTTTGCTTCTGGGTTGTTCCAGGGAGTGAACCGGGCAGTTACACTCCCACCAGTGGCAGGCTGCTACGACCCTACCCTATCAAAGGGACACCCGCCGCAGTCAATCCCGGACTGACACAGACACCTTCTCTCGTCCCATCACTAAACAGTCACAGCGAGGGCAACTCAGTCACGCACACGGCACAGGGGCTTCCGACCAGACAGACAGGAGCACACACAGCGCCTCACTGACCACGGGATGCTGGCCTTCACTGACCGACAGGCCCCAATCTCTGGAAGGGAACTGTCCAGAGCTCCAGGACCCTGACAGCCTCTTAGATGGGCAGAGAAAAAAATGCTAACGGGGTCATCTGATTGGATCAGTGCCTGGCTGTGCGGGAAAGATCCCTGGACTTGGGGTGAGACCAAAACAGTCCTGCAGCTAAGCAGCTCCAACCCCCAGTTCTTTATCGCCTAACGTGGACAGCAGAAACAAGAGCTGACGCTGGGGGCCACTGTCACACCCACAGGGAGGAATCTGTCAAAACACACAGGAGAACCGACACCCACGACACCCACACAGGGAGTGCCACCAGCAACGCAAGAAGCCAAGAGCTGAAGTGCACCGTCCATGAATGGCTCTGAAATGCACCAGGCTAACGGAAGAAGCCACTCAACAGGTTGCTTGTGGAGTAATTCCATTTGTGATGCATTCTGGGAAAGGTAAAACTCCAGGGTTAGAGGCCAGGTCACCAGTACCAAAGGGCAGGGCCGAGAGACTACAAAGCGCAGCAAGAGGGAATTGGGGGAGGGGGCGGCACTGTGGTGTAGTAGGTTAAGCCTCCGCCTGTGGCGCTGGCAACCCATATGGGTGCTGGTTTGAGTCCTGGCTGCTCCTCTTTGATCCAGCTCTCTGCTGTGGCCTGGGAAAGCAGTGGAAGATGCCCAAGTCCTTGGCCCCTGCACCCCTACAGCAGACCCAGAAGAAGCAGCAGCTCCTGGCTTCCTAGCAGCCCAGCTCTGGCTGCTGCAGCCATTCGGGGAGTGAACCAGCCGATGGAACATCTTTCTCTCTGTCTCTAACTCTCTCTGTCTCTAACTCTGCCTCTCAAATAAATAATCTTAAAAAAACAAAAAAACAAAACCCAGAGGGAAGGTTGGAAGAGACAGACCCATTCTTTAACTTGGTAGTGGGGGACCTGGAACTATGTAATTTTCAAATCTCACAGACCTAAACACCAAGACAGATTTTACTGTGAGTAAATCTTAAATATAAACTTTTTTTTTTTTTAATGGAAAGCAGGTCCCCACCACAGAGACCGGGATGGGACTGAGAGTGCAGTTGGACAGGAATGTGTCCACACACCCCTTGAAAGTGGGAGAGATGGGGGAACATTACAGGCCGGCACTCTGGAGGAGACATGTTCCCCAAGACAGGACAACCCCAGTCACGGCACCGTGACAGCCGTTCAGTCTGGGAAACCTCCCCAAATCAAGGCCACACCAACAGCTTCCTAGCAGAATCCTTCGGCCCAGGAGTGGCAGGAGCAAGCACAGAATGGGAAGAAGGAAAGCAGGCTGAAGGGGCCGTGTGGCCACAGCTCTCCAGAGAAGGCTGCCTCTGCATCAGAGAAGCACTTCCTGGAGGCAGCGGTCAGCCTGCGATGGGGCTCAGGTCGCCTTCTGGGCTCTCAGTTCAGCCTGGCCCAACCCCAGCTGCTGGGCATTTGGGGAGCGAACCAGTGGAGGAGAGGTCTCGCTCCAGGTGTCTCTCTCTCTCTGTGTCTCTCTCTCTCCCCCATGTTTTTTTTTTTTTTTTTTTTTTTTTTTTAAGCTGCCAGGCAGTCTTCCTAGTACTGGTGACAGCCCCAACGGCCAAACAACAAACAAGCCACCGGTCTCAGGGACAAAGACTTTGCAGGGCCTTGGCAAGAGCATCCGTCAGCGTGACGGGCAGTAGGTAGGTAATGAGGGGCAGGCAGAGCCCAGGCGCACACGGCCCTCCCTTTGCAGGGGAGCATCGGCACCCAGAGCCCTCCTGGCCAGCAGAGCATGGCTCAGAATCAAACAGGCTGGGAGCCGACCCATCCCTCCACCCTGCTCTGGGCTCTGCTCTCCTCCTTCCAGCGGCACTGGCAGGCCTGTCACCTGTGGTGTCAGCATCCCATGCGGGCGCTGGTTCGAGTCCCGGCTGCTCCACTTCCGATCCAGCTCTCCGCTGTGGCCTGGGAAAGCAGTGGCAGACGGCCCACGTGCTTGGGCCCCTGCACCCACGTGGGGGGCCTGGAGGAGGCTCCCGGCTGGGATCAGCCCAGCTCTGGCGGTTGCGGCCATTTGGGGAGTCAACAAGGGATGGAGGATGGAGGCTCACTCGCTCTCACTCTCGCTCACTCTCGCTCTCTCCACTCTACCCTCCTCCCTCCCTGTGACTCTGCCCTTCAAATAAATACATCATAAAATATAAAACAAGACAAAAAACCCTCGCCCCTGGTGGCCCCGCTGTCTCCCTCCACTTACTGACACCGCAAAGCGCTGAGGGGCCGGGGGCAGGAGAAGGTGGGCCCAGGGACGAGGGAGCTCCGGCGCCTTCCTTCACCTGCCACCCCACCAGGGTGCCCTGGCACGGCGCGTCCAGAACTCTCCAGACGGCCCTCCCCGTGCTCGCTCCGGCTTCCCCGCTGTCCACCCGGTACACTGCCAGCTCCTGGTCCTCCCGGTAAGACTCTCACTCCCACGACCACAGCGGGTCGGTCTGTCGCGGCCGGGGCTCGCTCCCGGGCCGACCAGCCGAGCACCTGCCGCCACAGACGGCCCCGATGCCGCCGGCGTGTTCGCCCCACCCCTCCGCGGCGGCGGCCGGGGCTGAGCGCTCCTGGCGCGCGGCAAACCGGGGCAGGGCAGCAAGTGCCGAGCCTACCTGAGCTGGGCCTCAGGCCCCGGGCCGCGCTCGGGCCTCCGCCGCCGCGTCCGCTCGCCTGGCCGCCGCCCCCGGCGCCGGCCGCCGCCACAGAGCCCGGTTCCCGCGGCCCGACTCCCGCCCCGGAAGTGGTTCCCGGGGGCGCGGAGCACGCCGGGACACTCGTGGAGCCCACGCCGGGCCAGCTCCCGTGTTCTGTAGAATCCGCCCCTCGCTCACCCAGACCTTCCGGTCAGCTCACCCAGCTCGCCGTGTGGCGCACGGAGCAGCCAATGAGCACGGAGAGCCCACCTTTCCCCGCCCCCCACTGAGGAGAGAACCAATCATGTTGCAGGAGAGGCAGGCGGCGCCAAGTCCTGAGGGAAGGTGGGGGCGTCGGGGCAGGGGAGCGTGGTTAGCTGTCCAGTGACCCAAGGGTCCGCGAGGGGGGAGTCCCGAGGCGGCCATCAGCCTCAGTAGTTGCGCTGCGACTCGAGGGGGCGAACCAGAGTGACGCGCCGGACACTGTCAGGACCGCGCAGGGAGGGGAAGTGGAGGCGGACCCGACGTGAGTGGCCTCGGGCCTCCCGCAGCTGTGTCGGGAACTGGGCGGGACGCGGGGAACCGGCCGGGAGAGGGAGGAGAAAGGGCAAAAGGCCGTCCTGATCCCCAGCTTTAGGATTTACAATCCCGCCCCCCACCCCAGTTCCCGAGTCTGTTGGCGTCTGGTTACCACAGCAACCGGCCGCCTCGCGGCAGGGGGGCGGGGCTAACGGGCCGCCGCCCAGAAGCGGACCTGCAACCGGACCGGGATCCGGAGCGCCCCGCTTTAGGCTCCGGTCCGTGCTCACCGCAGATTCCCCGCAGGCAGGTCGGGGCCTTTCCCATTCCTCTGAGCCGCTGGGCGTGCCCTCCCCTCCACCCTCCCCTGCCCGTCCCGCTTGTCCACGCTTGTCCACGCACCGCAGCCGGTGCTGGCCCTCCTCACCCCTGTGGTGGCCTCGCCTGTGCGCCCGACTTGCCAAGCAGAACCCCGGTTCCGAAACGGCATGCCCCTCGTGTGCATGTCCACGTACACAACGTGTACACAGATCGTTACATGTCTATACCACCTGTAGAGAGTGTCACTCACGCCCAGGATGCTCTGTGCAGCCTCCACCTGTTACACACGGGTGGGCGCACACATGGCACCCGGCTCTGAGGTCCGGGAGTCTGTGTTGCTCTCCCACTCCGTCCCCTCGCACCTCACCCCCGTGCGCTCCGCAGGGCCCCTGCCATGAGACCACACTGAGAGAATGTCAGTGAGCCTGGGCCCCCATGGCCTCCACAGACAGACACCTGGCGCCCTCACCGGGCTCCCCCTGGGACGCCATCCTCCAGGCCGTCAAGGACCAGCTCCCTTCTCTGGACTCCTCCTCGGTGAGCAAGGGCTTTCCTCCCGGGCCTGGGACACGCGTGAGGCAGGATCAGCTCGGGGGGCTCCGCGCCGCAGGCTTGCCCCCGGGCCCGTGGACTTGGTTTTCAGGTCACTTTAAATCCTGGGGCCGTGTCTCAAGCTGTGTCTCCGGGTTCCTCCTTCCTAGAAACACCTACTGGTGCCCCCGACCTGCACCCGGGTCAGCTTGATCTCCTGCTGTGCTGGCCCCAGCTCTCCGTTGGGCCAGCATGGGGCCAGGGCTCCCACCTAGAGTGGGGACCACCCCAGGGCCTCATGAGAGCCCTCGAGGGGTTCCCTAGCCGTGGGCTGGGTCACTGGGGTGGCCCTGAGGATGCTGACCACCAGTGGCTACAAGCACCAGGGTAGGCCTGGACATCGCTGCCGCCAATGGCACACTGACCACCGGCTCCTCCGCACACGGCCTGGCCGTGGGCATACAGAGCAAGGGCTGGAAAAGTAATGAGCTGGGCTTGGATCTTATGTGGGACCTGCAGACGCACGCAGCACAGTTCCTGGGACTCGAGGGGCTGTCCAGGGCACGGCGAGGCTGAGGGGCACCGTGACCCCAGCACTCGGCGCCCGGTCTCTCGCTCCTAGGTGGGCAGACCAGCATAAGGCCCTTCCCTTCTAGAGAGGTCACTCAGGCTCCAAAAAAGCAGTGAGTGGAGGCGGGCGTGGCGCATCTGGTTAAGCCACACTTGCGGCATCCGAGTCCCACATCCAAGTGCCCGTCCAAGGCCCACCTGCTCCACTGCCCATCCACCTTCCTGCCGGGGCATTATGGGAGGGCAGCGGATGATGGCTTAAGTGCCTGGGCCCTTGCCACCTGCACAGGAGACTGGACAGAGTTCCAGACTCCTGGCTTGCACCTGGCCCAGCCCTGGCTGCTGCAGGCATTTGAGGAATGAACCAGCAAATGGAAGACATCGCTCTCTCTTGCTCTAACTGTGCTTTTCTATTAGGTGCAAAGAAATAAACATTTTTAAAAGTTTGGTTGCATTTTAAAAAATAAACACATTTAATCGTTCAAGAATGATGGCTCGAGACCACGCGGCTACCACCTCATGCAGCGCCTGCTGTATGCTGGGCTCAGGAGCGGCAGGTGCCATGCGGTGGTGCAGCTGCACCCACTGCTAAGTCCTTGGCCCTTGCAGAGGGCATGGGATCTCCCCAGGTTCTCCGGCAGCAGGGCTGGGCCGGACGGGTGGGGAGGGGACACTGGGGCCCTGTGGCTCTGCCTCTGCTCTGTAATCCAGGAACCCTCGTTTGTCCACAGTCAGACAGCGGGGAAGAGGAGCTGTTCGTCTTCCAGCGAAAGGAAAGCATCCTGATTCCGGACCTTTCGGAGGAACTGGCTGAGGACGGGGCCGGTGGCGTCGAGTCTGGGGCCTGGGGCCTTGCTGAAGGGCCTCCTCCCGAGGTCCGCGGGCAGAGGTTCTGGGGCATCACCTGGGCTTGGAGGAGACCCTACACAGCAGTGGGACTCTGAGATGGGTCAGACCACCACCTGGCCTCTCCGGAGCCCAACACCTAGTTGCCACGCATCTCCCTTCCGGGGACCTGATTTTCTGTTTGACTTTGCCCCTGGCCCACCCACTTGCCCCTCCTGCCCTAAGCTCTCTGGTTGCTAATGCCCGCCCCCCTGGCTCGGCTGGCACGCAGCAGGCACTCCCTGTGTGTGTGCTGCATTGCTGGCACTTACCGTGGGGAGTCCCAAAGGAAGAAGGTGTTGATCCCATGAACACCCAAGCAAATGAGCCAGGAAGTTGATTACCGAATGCCCGCATACTCCCGCACCCCAGAGCTGTTTCCCATCTCCTGTGCCCCCATTTCCCAGGGCCTCAGGGACGATCAGGAACTCCATCGAGGGTTAATGGTTTGATGCTGGCAACCAACAGCCGCCTTTGAAATGGAACCCAGCCATCAGCTTTCATCGCTGGGCAGGCCCCAACCCGTCAGACCCGGTCAGCTCTCCTAGATGTGTTGTGGGGAAGTCTCCTGTTTGCTGTGGAAAAACCATAGCACTGTAGCCTCCTGCCAAGGTGGGGGGCTGGGGGCCTTCCCTCAGCTCACATCTGCCCAGCACAGCTAAGCAGGTGCTTGGGGCTGGGAACCAATCAACTCCCCATCACTCACTGGCCCAGCCAGGCCTGTGAGCAGATCTGAAATAACCCCAGGGCAACAAGAAGCCTGCGCTGGGCCAGGCAGAACGATGCCCACAGGGCCATTTCACGGTCTTCATTCCTGCAGCTCACTCTGGCCACTCTTGTGTGCAGCTTTTCTGTTTTCTTTAATTTGTGCTGGGGAGGGGCTGCTGACAAGCAGTTTCTGTTTGGAGGAATGAATCACATTTTGGAAATAGTGGCGTTGGCTGTGTCAGAGTCACTGAATTGTGCACTTAGCATACAATGGACATTTTTACGTTATGTGTTTATCGTAGCATGAAAACAAAAAAGCCCTAATGTACTTGTTTTGAGGATGTGAGCTGAGGCTGTCTGTTTCCTCGATAGCAGCTTCTGGTGCCTGTGGAACTGGCCACGCAGCCTGGGAGTGGATGGACAACACGGATGGAGGATTCAGCCGCTGGGAAAGGAAGGGGCCCCAGCCCACCTTTTGCGAGCCATGGTGAGATCAGCTGTCTTCCCAGGACAGCCACAGAGACCCCCATAAGGCTGGAAGGTGACCTTGGGAGCAAGTCTTTGAACACCACAGGGTCCCAGAGTCCCCTCTGGGCTCCACAGGGAGAAGCCACCCTCCCCCTCCAAGAAGGAGGCCGAGAGACAGAGCCCCCCAGCACTGCACCTCCAGACCCTGCAAGCCGCAGGGCCCTCCGACGGGCCAGGAGGAAGATGATTGAGGAGGACATACTCCAGAAAGTGACCCGGGACACCCAGGACCCGGCCTGCAGTGACCAAAGCTGGGCCAAGGGGGCGCCCTGCCAGGCTGCAAAGTCAGGTCCCCAGCCACAGGTTCCTCCTGCAGGGGCTCAGCAAGGACCGCTGGTGCTCTCGCTCCAGGTAAGCGCCCCCTGCTGCCCCGCTTCCTCAGACCTGCGCCTGCAGCAGGGCCGCCTTCCCAGCTGGCCTGGGTCCCAGCCCAGGGTCCCAGGTCCACCAGGGCAAGCAGCCAGTCTCAGTGGGGGTGGGGGTGGCCCCAGCAAGGAGCTCACCCTCCAATCAGAGTTCATGAGAATGCAGAAGAGTGAGAGATCCCAGCCTTAAGAGAAACAGGAGACCCAAGCACATGCTGATAAACACGGGCAACCGGGGAAAGCCTCATCCTGGCCCAGCTCGGACCACCTGTTCATGCTGGCTTTAGCGTGTCAGTGAGAGAAGCAGCCAGTGTGCCGAGGTCAGGAGAGATCTGCATTCTGTCCGTGTGGGGGACTGCTGCCTTTCTGGCCAGGACAGAGAGAAGCCTTCACCCAGGTCACAGGTGAAACAGGTGGGCCCGCTCAGATGTGCAAACCAAGGTATCCTCCCTGGGCAGGCAGCGTCTCCCGGAACCCCATTCCACCCTGAGTCCTATGGACACATTTCAGGTTCCTTTTTTAAGAAAGATTCATTTACTTGGAAGTCATTTTTAAAGACGTAGTTTATTTATTTGAAAGGCACGGTGACAGAGAAAGGAAGAGACAGAAGAATCTTCCACCCACTGGCTCATTCCCCAAAAGGAAGCAACACCCAGGTTTGGACCAGGCCAAAGCCAGGAGTCTGGAACTCCATCCTTGATCTCCCACAGAGGTGGCAGGGGCCCATCTTCCTCCGCCTCCGCAGGCACATTAACAGGGAGCTGAATTGGAAGTGGGGCATCTGGGGCTTGAACCAGCACCCCGATATGAGATACCAGCGTCACAAGTGGCAGCTTAACTCTGTGCCACAGTGCTACCCCTTGGGTAATTTTTCTTAACAATCTACAGAGAACTGGCACTGAGGTCCCCACAGAGTCTCTTAATTTACTGTTTAACTAAACCGTTCTTTCAGTTCTGCTCAGCCCTGACAACTTGGATTTTTCCTCACCCCAGGGCTGCAGACAAAGGTCACACATAACAAACACTCCCTCTTGAGTAACTCCCTCACTCCCTCATCACACCCTCCAGCCTGAGCTCCTGCCCAGGACAACTTGCTTCTTTTTTTCTTTTTTTAAGATTTACTTATTTATTTGAAAAAGTTACAGAAAGAGAGAGACATACACAGAGAGAGATATCTTCCATCCACTGGTTCACTCCCCAGGTGGCCACAACAGCCCAGGCTGGGCCAGGCCAAAGCCAGGAGCCAGGAGCTTCTTCCATTCTCCCACATGGGTGGCAGGGGCCCAAGCGCTTGGGCCACCTTCTACTGCTTTCCCAGACACATTAGCAGGGACTTGGATCAGAAGAAGAGCAGCAGGGACACAAACCGGCGTCCATATGGGATTCTAGCATCACAGGCGGCGGCCTAACCTGCTGTGCTGGCCCTGAACAACTTTTTATTTTCAAGATTTTGTTTGCTTATTTGAGAGGTAGAGCAACAGAGAGAGAAGGAGAGACAGAAAAGTCTTCCATCTGCTGGTTCAGCTGATACGAAGGCAGGAGCCTGGAGCTTCCTCCGGGTCTCCCACGCGGGTGCAGGGGCCCAAGGACTCGGGCCATCCTCTACTGCTTTCCCAGGCCACAGCAGAGAGCTGGATCGAAGAGGAGCAGCTGGGACTCGAACAGGCATCCATATGGGATGCCAGCACTGCAGGTGGAGGCTTAGCCCACTGTGCCACAGTGCTGGCCCCCACAACTTGTTTCTTAAAAGAGCAGGATGTTTTAACCCCCAAAGAGTCTATGCTTGTCGGAACCTGAACAGTTTTTGTAATGACATGGGTTTCTTTCCGGTCAAACATCTCTGCACTACAAACAAAGGTATTACCCAAACGAGGCGTAGGAAAGAGGTGGCAAGAAACACAGGCCCACCTTTGTGATAGGCTCAGTCTGTTATCTGTGGTGAGGGCAGGCACCTGAGCCTTGACTGGTGCCCCCCCTCCCCGGTCACCACTGCTGGGACCACAGGCACGTGGGCCTCCCTGCCACAGCCCTGTAACCGCTGCTCTCGTTCTTTCAGCAACTGGAAGAGTGGGATTTGGATTACGTCCTCCAGAGCCTGGCAGGGCCAGAGGACACCCAGGGAAACCGCATACCTGGAACGGCATGGTGGGCGGCTGACCTCTTCCGACACCAAGGTCTGACCGGGAATCCTCAGGAGCCGCTCCCTCCAGGGCCTCCCTGACGCAGGGCCACGGGGTGGGGCTGACCAGCCCTGCGGCCAGGCCACACATTTGCTCTCTGCCTGCTCGACCCCTCGCTGTCTGGACACAGGTGCACACACCTGCTGCCAGTCCTTGACAGACTTCACTCGCTGAACACACATGTGGCCCCTGCCTCCTTGGCTTTCCTCCCTCTCCTGCCCCCACACTGCCTTCCACAGCTGCTCCCATGACCCTGCTGAACGGAGGTCAAGGATGTCATTTCATCTGCACTGCCGCCTTGCAGGGGCTGGAGCAGGGGCCCTGCCGCTCCCCAGAGCTGTGTTTCTAACTCAGGCCTCACAGCAGATGTGGAGGGCCAGACCCTCCCCTAAGGCAGGTGTGTGGGGAGTGGACCCCCTTCACGGAGGCAGTGCGGCAGAATCTTTTCCATTTTAAAGGCATACAACCCAGACTCAAGCTGTTCCACTTGGGAAATCTTCCCTAAGCACACACACGCACCCTAGCAGCTAAAAATGTGTATTCGAGACTACCTGAAGCATCGTTGCCTAAAGCTGTGAGCACGGGGAAACCGTCCAGCTCAGAGGCAGTGAGCTGAGTCAGTCCCCCAGGATGCTGTGCAGCGCAGGGCAGCAGGGGTCGCCACGAGACACCTGGAGTGTGGAAAGACACGGCTCAGCGCATGGAAGCAGCCGGGAAAGCCTGAGATGAGCCCCTTGAAGGGGCTCAGGACTTACTGTGCAGAGTGGCTCCCGGCAGGGAGGAGGTGGCTCCTGCTCACAAAGATGCCTGCCGCTCCCTCAGCCCTGCAGAGCCCGAGCCCAAGTCCCTATCGAGGGCTGAGTCGAGAGGGCTGGGGCAAGGGTGCGAGCGAGCCCACGAGGAAACCCAGGGGGTCCTGAGGCTCAAGAGTCTGGGTCAGTAGAGGGCTGAGTGCCCACTTAGCCTCCTCTTTGGTGACCCCCAGGGCACACGGTGTGGAGAGACGAGGACGAGCTCATGGAGCAGCTGGCCCTGCTGAGTGCCTGCCAGGCCACAGCCTCCACCTCTGCCCGGAGGGTGCCTGCCCACACTCCCCAGGAAGTCGAGGAGCAGGAGGCTGGAAGCAGGTGGGACTGGCCAGCTGAGGCCCGGGCTGTCTGGGACCCATCAGTGGTCGAGCACCTCGGGCTGCTGTGGGTCAGCTGCCTGGTGTGCATTTCTCACTGGGTCTCTCTTGCAGGCAGACGGTCCTATTATCCCCCAGCTTATAGAAGGGAGAACTGAAGCCCAGAGGCTCTGACTCTCCTCAGCCCTAAAAACCAGGGCTAGAACTCCAGCCCCAAAGCACCGGATCTTGCCCAAAACCCTATCCCCAGGGCCTCCCTGGGAGCAGAAGGGTTATCACATGACCCTGCCCCTCTGGACACCGCTGATTGGTCCAACCCTGGGCTTGTGATTCAGTCCGACCAATCAGAGCCTTCCTTGGGACTCTGCAGTCTCTGCAGGGGTGGAGGGGCTGTAGGAAAGAGGCGCTGCAGTGAGGAGGGGTGGAGGTGGGGCCCGGTGGACCCCTGCTCTTCCTGCGCTTCAGTGGCTCCACTGTCTTCTAGAATCTGAGCCAATGAAGTCCCCTTTACACTGAGCTAGCTGGGAGTGCGTTTCTGTGCCTGGCAACCAGCAGTACCCAGCAGACATGGCCAGACCTGCACTGGACCCTTGAAGTGTGGCCGGTGTGAGGGAATAGCTTAATGTACTCACTTAATTTCTCAGGTGTGCTCTGACAAAGCCAGGCTTCCAGGCTGAGCCGGGCCAGAAGGCAGCCGAGGGCATGAGGCTGAAGATGGAGCCTCCCACCATCTTCATCGATCTGCGGCAGACGGAGCCAGCAGGCCACCCCCGGTCCCCAGAAAGGTGCAGGGAGCAGTGACCGCCTGGCACTTGCCGGCTGGCCTCAGGAGGCATCCCGCAGTGCCTCCTGGGAAGAAAAGGCCTTGCGAAAGCCTGGGGCATTATGGGGTCATGACCTGGGCCTCACTTGGTCACCTGTGGGGAGGGACGCAGAGGGCAGACGCTCTCAGGCCGAGCTCTATGGAAACTTCGTGTAGACTGATGCCATCACTCTACACCCTGCTCCACCACTTGGCAGGAAGTCCCATAGCCCTTTGGTTTTGGCGCCTGCCACGCTCCCTGCCCTGGGATACCAGGGTGGCTCAAGTCTGGTGGCAGCTGGGCCCGGCTGGTGGCTGAGGCACATCTAGTAAACTCATGTCCTCTCCTCCCCAGCTCCAGCCACAGCTCGTCTGACAGCGAGGAGGAGGAGGAGGAGACGGCAGCTCTGGGAGACCAGCAGGGCCCTGCGGACAGGGCATCTCCTTCCTCCCAGGGGCTCAGGTAACCAGGGGCGTCCGGCTACTGTGGAATGTTCCCTCTCTGCCCACCTGGCTCTAGGTCTTGCACCCTAGAGAGGGCGGCACTGGTCCAAGAGGTGGGGCCTGGCCGCAGGACACCCTCGAGGCTACCCTAGCCCACTCCTGAGGAGGGCTCAGTCCCCCTTCTCTCTGAAAAGCAGCTCTCCTGCTACTGAGAGGAGGAGCAGGGTGGGTGGAGGGGAGGGCTGCCAGGCAGTGAGGGGAGGCCTGGGTGAAGGAGGGTGCCCAGGTCTGGGCCCGGCAGAGGAGGATCACAACACCTGCAGCACGGCAAAGCCTCTGGCTCCTCTGGGGAGCGTGAGGGTCTGCTCCTCCCCTAGTGGGGGGGGGGGTCATTACAGGAAAAGCACGAGGGTGCGGGCTGAGGAGTGTCCAGCAGGCCTCCCGTGGGAAGCCTCTGCCACGCTGCAGGCACGTGACTACCCAGGGCCGCTCTGGGCGCCCCTCTCAGCAGCATCTCCTGGCGGTCGGGGCTGTGGTACGCCAGGCAAGCTCCAGCTCCCAGCGGCAGGCACACTGAGCACCTGCTATGCGATCAAATGACCTGGGCTCTGACCAGGCTGCTGCTTTCTCTTACCCCGTGGGGACCTGCTGCAAATCACTGTGCCATTGCGAAAGGGGGGGATTCTTAGTTCCTGCCCCCAGTAAGTCGAGGCAGCACACAGAAGTATGAGCAGGCGGCAGCTGTCTGGATGGTCCAGGCTGTGGGACCTCCGGAATATCCCCTCACGTGCTGACTGGGTGCTGACTGCCCCACATCATTGGGTAGCTGAAATCATGTTTGGTCTTTATATTCCTTTCTAGAATTATCCATCAATTTATTTTTTGAAAGGCAACAGTTTATTTTTTGAAAGAACAACAGACGAGAAGGAGAGGCAGAGAGAGAGATTACACTCATTGGTTCATTCCCCAAATAGCAGCAATGGCCAGGCCAAAGCCAGGAGCCAGGAAATCCTTCCTGGTCTCCCACGTGGGTGACAGTGGCCCTAGTACTTGGGCCGTCTTCTGCAGCTTTCCTAGACACGGAAAGCTGTATCAGAAGTGGGGCACAGGTCTCAAATCAGCGCTCCTACATGGAATGCCAGCGTCGCAAGCAGCAGCTTAACTTGCTATGCCACACACTGGCCCCTCAATCAGATCTGTAACCAGCTTAAACCCAAATTTGGAAGTGGAATCAGGAAGGTGCATGGTGGGGTTGCCTTTCCTCTTGGGTGGGAGGTGAGAGTGTTCGGGCCCCCACGTGACAAGGTCTTGCTGCACCCACTGAGCTGAGCAGGGTGGGAAGCCAGGAGCATCAGGCAGGCAGGCACACACACACACACACACCCCTCCCCGGTTCCCGAGCACAGCCCCGCAGCCGTGCCTCAGTCACTTCCTTATTTAATGGGAGCTGAAAGCACCTGGGTTTACCCCATCACAGGGCCTGCACCGGGAAGAGTCAGCTTCTCCAGCAGCTCAGGGCATTCCGGAAGGGGGCGGCTCAGCCTGGGCCGCCTGCCAGCGACGGCTGCCACGGGCAGGAGGCCCAGGCCCCTGAAGACTCGGCCGGATCGGGAACTGGCCGGAAACAACATGTGAAACTCTGGCCTGAGGTACAGAGCGCTCAGGCCACACTCCCAGGGGGACGTCCCAGGGCTCTGGGAGACCCTCTAGGGCCAGGGACAGCCAGGGAGGCACTGGTGCCTCCTCTGGGTCAACCATAGATGGATGTGGTACCAGGGTCTGAGAAGAAAGTAGGCAGTCTTTCCATGGAACCAGGCCTGGTCCACCCTCTGTCCACACGCCTGCATCAGCGGGTACCTCAGTGGGGCAGGGACCCTCACTTGGCCTGTCACTCAGCCCTCCGTTAGAATTCAGGCGTGACACTGCCTGCACTTAGAGCAAAGATGCAAACAGAGATGTATACACAAAGCACAACTACAACCCTGGAGCAAAATGGCACTGATCTCCTACCAGACAGGACGGAGAGGACGAGGTGGCTGCTGGTGCTGGGACCACGGGGCCTCTCCTCCTTTGTCCACTCCCTCCCCTTTGCTGTGACGGGCGCCTGTTCCTTCTGTCGCACAAGGTCTTTCTCTCAGGGAAGCAGAGCGCCCTCCTCAGCCTGATGCTCTGGTTCCGGGGCCCTGCTCCTCTGTGTTCTCAGTGAGGCTGCGCACGTGCACACCGAGGGCTGCTTGAAATGGAGGCGGCAGCGGAAATTGCCTGCTCCTTGGTTTTCTTCTTTTAACCCAAGTACAAAGGCACACCGGTGACAGGGCCTCCCAGCTGTGAACACTCACACCTTGTCACTAACCAGATAACCAGGGAGAGGGGCCGCTGGCTCCCCAGGCCGAGGCCCCTCAGGCCCGTTACCCTGGAGCTCGATCCTCCAGCCTCCTGCCCCCAGGCGTGCGTGTCCCAACAGGCAGGAGCCCTGACCTGAGGCACCTGCATTCTCTTGCCACCAGTCTCCAGGATGCTGCCTCCCGCCCCCCTGCCCCGTGGGGAGAGCAGAGCAATCAGTGTCATCTCGGGCCCTACACACCACGGGCTCTACACACCACGGGCTCCTACACACCACGGGCCCTACACACCACGGGCTCTATGGGCTCCTACACATCACGGGCCCTACACACCACGGGCCCTACACACCACGGGCTCCTACACACCACGGGCTCTACACACCATGGGCTCCACACACCACGGGCCCTACACACCACGGGCTCCTACACACCATGGGGTCCTACACACCACGGGCCCTACACACCATGGGCTCCACACACCATGGGCTCCTACACACCACGGGCCCTACACACCACGGGCCCTACACACCACGGGCCCTACACACCACGGGCCCTACACACCACGGGCTCCACACACCATGGGCCCTACACACCATGGGCTCCTACACACCATGGGCCCTACACACCATGGACTCTACACACCATGGGCTCCACATACCATGGGCTCATGCAGCACAACGGGGCACTCAGCACTGGGCCAGATGTTCCCGTGTTCAGCTGGGGCGCTACTGGCTGCCATGCCAAGGCTGGGCAGGGGTCTCTGCACCAAGTCCTGCCATGCAAGATAGGCCTGCCCAGCCTCCGCCAGCAGCAACATCAAACCAACCCCAGCCAAACGTGGCCAAGAGTGGGGCCATGACTCCTCTCCAGTACCCCCTTCATCTGGCCCTGGAGATCCCAGTGCCAGCCCCACGACCAACAGGGAAGCGTGTTTTCCTTAGAGGACAAATGCCAGACCAACCTCACCAAGGCCACAGGGGCCTGCCTTGCCCTCTCCAGGCCTGGCCACGTGTGGCTTGGGGCAAGGCTTTGTTGGGCAGTGCAGCCTCCACTCCAGCAACTTTTTTTTTTTTCCTGTAACCCTATTTTCTCCCATTTCTGCCCCTTTCAGTGCTACAAAGTTCATTTAGAATGTTTCACAAACAAAAAATAAACTGTGTTCCAAGTTCACCTCTGCCTGTCAATCAGTGTCTTCAAGGCAACCTGAGTCCCAAGCCAGCTCTGCCACCCAGGCGAGGTGCTCATCACTCCCAGTGCCTCAGTTCCCCCATCCGCCTATAAAATAACCATGACACCTGCATCACCGAACTACTCAGGATGACATCACAGCCCATGGCGCCTGCACCCTGCACCCTCCACATCAGCTGAGGGAATGATGGCAGCCTCGCGGGGGAGAGGAGCAGCAGCACCTGAGGACCCACCGAGCCGCTGGGCACAAAGCATGGAGGTGTGAGCACAGGGCCCATGGGAGGAGCCCCCTAGCCTGGCATGGCTAAGCAGGGGACAGCTCTGTGGCAGGAGCCAACCAGGCCGCTCCACATGCAGCTCCTGCAGCCCCGGTCGGGGGAGGGGGAGGTGGGTGGGCTCTTGGCTGGCCACGAGAGCGTGGCTTGGCCACATGTGGCTGGGTTCCACATGCCCCACGAGCGCTCCCACAGCCAGTGTGGAAAGTGAGAGCTGTGCTGAGGCCAGGTGGCTGCACTCTGCGGGGCACAGGGGGCTGCGTACTCAGGGGCCAGGACAAGCAGATCAGGAGTGACACTGTTTATTAGGCAAACGGAGCCTGGGTGGCAATGGAACGGAGTGTCACAGGCTGCTACGAAGGCCCAGGCGACATGGCCTGGATGTGATGTTCTTGAACCGGTAGCAGCTGGCCTGCGACTTCAGTGACGACTAAACCCACCAACAACTCTGTGCTGCCCCCCAGCCACCTACCTGATGGACTGTGGACAGGCCAGGCGGAAGCCTGAAGGTGGAGTCCTCGCCTCAGACGAAGTGTGGCAACCAGAGAAAGCCACACGCTGAAAAGAACCACTGAGGGCCTGTGGCAAGTGCCAGATTCCGAGGCCCCCTCGACAGCAAGGGTGAGTGGGAAGACAAGATCCTGGGGAAGCTGGCTGATTAACACTGCTGCAGTCCTGGAAAAGCCGCACCTCTGCAAGGTTACTTTTAAATATTTATTTTTTTTACTTGAGAGGCAAAGTCACAGAGAGAGGTCTTCCATCCACTGGTTCACTTCCCATTTGGCCACAATGGCCAGAGCTAGGTCAGTCTGAAGCCAGGAGCCAGGAGCTTCTTCAGGTCTCCCACCTGGGTGCAGGGGCCCAAGCACTTGGGCCGTCTTCCACTTTCCCAGTCATTAGCAGAGAGCTGGATCAGAAGAGGAGCAGCCAGGACACGAACCAGCGCCCACCTGGGATCCTGTGCCACAAGCTTAATCCACTGCACCACAGCACTGGCCCGACAGAGCTATTTCTGAACAGGAAGGCTGGGTGGGGGAGGGGTCGGGAAATGCTGGCAGCCACCAAGGCCTCCCCAGAGCGGGCTGAGCGTGTCCTCCCCCGTGACTCGCAGCCACCGAACCTCAGAACGTGGCCTGCGAGCAAGGTCTTCTGAGACAGAATCAGTTACGATGAGGTCTCCGCGGTGCAGGGTTCCTAATCCAATGACTGGCGTCCTTGCAGCGGTAGGACAAGCAGAGTGGCAGCATGGCAAGGGGAGGGCCGTGGTGACGGAGGCAGGGGTGGGAGCAGAGGCCGCAGCCAGGCAGCGCCTCCAGCCCCGCAAGCTGGGCAGGCAGGCGATGGGCGCTGTGTGGGGCTCCGCCTGGCCCTGGGCTCGTGGCCTCAAGGGCGAGAGCAGGTTCCCACCGGCAGAGCCCCTGTGCCTGCTGCCCTAACCGCAGCTCTGGAGCTCAGGGCCAGGCTTCCTCCCTGCCTCAGGCACCCAAGACGCCCCACCACATCCTTGTGCTGCCCACGGCAGTGGCAGCCAGCCTGGAGACGCTCCAGCTCCAGCTCAGGGACAGAAGTGACCCTGGCAGCTTCACGAATCCCATGGCTGAGAACTTCCGAAAAGTGCCCAGAGGGGAGCACATCCTTAGGCGTCAGGCTTTGGCCCCCGGAGGCTCCGGGGGCCCGGGGGCAGAGCTGTCCGCAGAGTGCGTCCGCTGGTGTTTGTGGAGGTCCGTGCCTCGGCGGAAGCCCCTGCCGCAGGCGGAGCACGTGTAGGGCTTCTCGCCCGTGTGCGTCCTGCGGTGGGCACTGAAGTGGGAGCTGTTGTTGAAGCTCTTCCCGCACTGGGCACACACGTAGGGCCGCTCGCCCGTGTGCGTCCTGCGGTGGATGACCAGGCTGGAGCTCTGGCTGAAGCGCTTCCCACACTCTGGGCACGGGTAGGGCTTCTCACCCGTGTGAACCCGCTGGTGTGTGCTGAAGTTGGAGCGGTCGCTGAAGCCCTTCCCGCAGACCAGGCACTTGTAGGGCCGCTCCCCGGTGTGCGTGCGCTGGTGCTTGGTCAAGTGGGACGTTTTACCAAAGGCTTTGCCGCATTCGGGGCACACGAACGGCTTGTCGGGTCCTCGGGGCCCCCCTCTTTCTGGTAGGGGGCAGCCCTGCCGCCGCTCAGTTCCAGCTGAGCCCCAGCACCGCTCCGCGAGCACATGGTACCACTCTGTCCTCACGGGCTTCTCCTGGGGGTCATGGCCATCCTCCACTTGGATCGCAAGCCCTGAGACAGAAAGTACAGTCCCTGAGAGACTCTGCAGGGGACGAGGACAACGGACACCCCCATCAGGGAGTGCCAGGGGTTCTGAACAGAGGAACGCACCATACCCACACCACGCCCCCACGGTCGGTGGTGACCCCACCCTGCAGATGACACTGAGGCCTGGGGAAGTTAGGCCATGGCCCTGGTGTCTGGGCTGTGACCTCCAGGCCATGACTGGGGACAGGACTGTAACCGGCCTCTAGTGGGGGCAGGAAACCTTCCTACCAACCCAGCCCCCATGGACAAGGCAGCAGTGGTGAGTCGGAGACCTCTGCTGTGGCCATCCTGCTGGGAGCAGGACCTGGAGGCCCGGGGTCCTGCCCCACAGGGCCTCCTCCCCTGTGTACTCAGGAGCAGCCCAAAGCCCCCTGAAGATCCTGGTCGAGGAGCCACCAGCGTCAACGACTCGACTTCTCTGCTCCCTTGTCTGGCACAAGCACAGTGAGGCAGAAGGGTCAAGGGCGTCCCTGCGAGCTGCTCCATGCCTGCAGCAGGCAGTCGCTGACAGACAGGGAGGGGACAGGAGGAGGAGAACCTTCCATCGGCCTTGCAATGTCCCTTGGAGGCACTGCTGTCCCCAGGCCCTCCCTTGCCTCTCTCCAAACCTGCATTTCCAAAGCTAAGTGTTGGCTCGGCGCTTACCAGGGCTCAGTCCCCACATCAGCACAACTGGGGTGACGACAGAACCACCCCACTGGCCTACTGTAAGAATTTTCCAGAGGCCAGCGCTGTGGTGCAGTGGGCTGAGCTGCCACCTGGGACACCAGCATCCCATCTGGACACAGGTTCAGGTCCCAGCTACTCTAACCCAGCTCTCTGCTGTGGCCTGGGAAAGCAGAGGAAGATGGCCCAAGTGCTTGGGCCCCTGCACTCACGTGGGAGACCCAGATGAAGCTCCTGGCTCCATCCTAGTCCAGCCCTGGCTGTTGCAGCCATTTGGGGAGTGAATCAGCAGATGTAAGATCTCTCTCTCTCTCTCTCTAACTGTGCCACTCAAATAAACAAACAAATCTTTAAAAAAAGACACAGATTCATCCTATGACGCAGACACAGATGCCAAGAGAACTGAAAACAGGCACTCAAACAAAAACTTGTGATTGTTCATAGCAGTATTGTTCAGAATAGCCAAAAAGTGGAGACAAATCTCCACCAGTGGATGAATAAACAAATAAGGCCCACCCACACAACGGAACAGCATTCGGGCATCAAGAGGTGTGGGCAGGACTGGTGAGCGGGCACAGGGGTCAGCCGGCACCTGCAACACCAGCATCCCGTGTCAATGGATGGACAGCACCTGCGACACCAGCATCCCGTGTCAATGGATGGACAGAAAACCAACCTCCCTCTTGCTCCTGCTTTGTCTCCTCCTTTCTCTCTGTAACTCTGATTTTCAGCTAATTCCAAAAACAAAAGGGCCGGGTTAGGACGGCTCTCTTGTGGGGACCCTGGAGGCCAGGAGCAAGCCTTCTGCCCCACACTCCTGATGACCGACAGATGTGCTCTGGGAGCAAGATGGCCCTGGGGAGGACTGGACACTAACCCTTCACAGGCAGCAAGACAGACACAATGCACTACACTGAAGCCAAGTGTGCAACCACAAACACCATCCACAGAGGGAAAAGGCAACCAACAGAATGGGAGAACATACTGGCAAAGCAGGTATGTGACGGGGCTTCTATCCAATACAAAGAGCCCCTACAATCAACAGTAACCAATGAACCCCAAGCAAAGAAGGTCCCTCGTGGAAGGGATGCTTCCCTGGACGGGGACAGGGAGCGCAACCAAAGCCGCTCGTCATCACCTGCTTCAGGGGAGCGCAAAGCACAGCCCCTGGGGACAGCACTTTGCTCCCAACTGGTAGACCAGACACAGAAATGACAGATGGTCCCAAGGCTGTGGCCAAACTGGGACACGTGACCACAGATGGAAGAACAGACACACAAACAGCCTCTGTCCACACAGTGGGACATTCAGATTTAGAAAGGAAGACTTTGACACCTGCTACAACACAGGTGGACCTGGATGGAGTTCTGGGCTCCTGGCTTTGGCCTGGACCAGTCTAGTCCATTGCAGCCATTTGGGAAGTGAACCAGCAGAAAGATTTCTCTCTCATTCTGCAGCAAATCAATCTTTAAAACGTGTGAGTGCATGAAATAAAGAAGGTACACTATCCCAGCCTGGCAGTCTGGCTCTCCTCCTTCTGTCCATGAGAAGCCCCAAACCTTTCCTAAGGTCATCACCTCCCCCTGCTTTTTCTTTAGCCAGGTGGTGGCAAACCATGGCCTGCAGGCCAAGGCCCACTCTGGTAATAAAATGTTAACAGAACACAGCTTCATCTGTTTATCTTTCTATTGCTCATGGCTGCTTCTGCCCTACAATAGGGCTGAGAAGTTGCAACAGAGATTGTGTGGCTCCTAAGACCTAAAATACTATCTGGTCTGCCAACCTGAGCTAGGCCCTTGAACTTGAACTTCACACACATGAACACCAAGGGCTAAACTCCCAGGAGATAGAATCGAACATAGGACTTCCATTTCCTTCTCACTGACTCATCTGAGCCGGCTCTGCCTGGGACCACCTTGGCTGAAGGCAGCACAGGCCTCCCCGTCTCCCCAGCTGGACAATCAGGGGCTGGGCCTGGGGTGTCCTCCCAGGACAAGAGAGGGGCGGCTGTGAGTGTGGGCTGGGTTGGAACTCCAGGACTGCACGATCCCTTTCCATAGAACAAACAGGGTGGGAGGAATCTCTGAGAAAGCTCAAAATGCAGGAGGTGAGCGGTGCGGTGAAGGGAGGACACGAGGAAACAGGGCCCAAGACGCTCACCGCCCTGGGAGGGAAGCTGGGAGGCTCTGGGGAGGTCCAGGGCTTTGCCGACACAGCAGAGGTGGCCTGGCCAAGGGCGGTCACACACGGGGAGACAGACAAGGGCCAAAGAGCATGAGCAGAGGCCCAGCCAAGGGGCAGCAGCGGTGTGTTCACTGACTCATGCACCCAGCAGACACTTAATGAAAAACCAGCATGGAAGGAAACCGTGTGGAGGGTGATTTCAAGGTGAACTTGGCCCAGCGGTGTGGTCACACAGCAGCCTACATGTTGCTACGAAGATGGTGTAGGACAGGACCGCCACGTACGAGCAGCTGACTGTCAGCGCAGCAGGTCACCTGCCCTTCCCGCGGGCGGCTGCACCCAGTCAGCCAGAGGCCTTTAGCGCAAAACCCAGTTTCCCAGGGAAGCACCTCTGCCCCAAGACTGTCACACACGTCTCACAGCCCGTCTCAGTCCAGCCTGCTGGCCTGCCCCACGGATTCTGGACACATGAGCCTACACAGTAACATGACGATTCCTTAGAATCAACCTGCGCAGGCGCTTTGTCACAGGTAAGGCAACGCCTGCGACACCAGCATCCCTTACGGACACCGATTCAAGTCCCGGCTGCTCCATTTCTGATCCAGCTCTGTTAATGCGCCTGGGAAGGCAGAGGATGGCCCACGTGCCTGGGCCCCTGCAGCCAGTGGAAGACCCAGAAGCTCCGGCTGCTGGTTCAGCCTGGCCCAGCCCAGGCAGTTGGGGACATTTGGGGAGTGAATCAGTGGACGGAAGATTTCTCCTTCTCTATAACCTGACTCTTAAATAAATAAATCTTGGAAACACACACACACACACACAACAAAGAGCAGTGGCCTCTGTGCAGCACAGGCAGGACTGCCCGGCCTTGCAGAAGCAGCTGCCGAGATGAGGGCAAAGGCAAAACGGGAGACGAGGTGAAGCCGGACCGTGTGGCGGCAGGAGCACAACACAAGGACCCCAGGACAGCTCTGGGCATCTGCATGGGGCACGGGAGAGGGGCCTCACTGCCCTCTGCAGTCGGGACACTGAGCCCACGAGCTGCTGTGGCCTTGCAGGTTACAGTCAGAGGGCTACCGAGCAGACCCACTGGGCCCGTGAGCCACCCCCAGGGCGCGGGCTGTACGTTCCCAGAGAACAAGGTCCCCCTGCTGTTACCCTCACTCTCTGGCAGCATGTTCCAGCTGTGGTCACGCCGAGCTGGGTCCAGGCGTCCCTGCTCGTCCTGGGACAGGTACGCAGCCACATCCTCCAAGGTTCCAGGCACCTGCTGGAATGTACCCCTCTTAGGCTCAAAAGGAGCCCCCTTGTCACCCTGAGCCAATGCTCCTGCTCACTTCCTGCAGGCTGGGCCCTGTCCACTCCAACCTTAACACTACGGCACGGCCTGCTGTCTCCCACCCCACCTGGTCCCCAGGAGCTGCCACGACAGACACTGCCGCCCACCTGCCTCCCGAGCCACAGCTTCAGCTTAATGCCGTTGCTGCGGCACTGTCCCAGGACCACAGGGCTGGGGACGGACTCACTGCACACAGCGGCCACCACCCACCCCACGACCCTGGGGCCAGCACTCCACAGGCAGACGAGTTAGGGGCCCTGGGACCCAAACGGGGCAACTGCCTCAGGACACCTCCAGGCCACTGGCTTCCACTTCTGGCACCAGGCTGACCTGGAGCACAGTGAGAACACAAGCAAACAACGTCTGGAGCAGGCAGCTCCGCAGACAGGAACTAAGGGCTGCCTAGCAACGGGAGGACGTGGGGGGCTGCCAGGGGGTCTGGGGAGCCCAGGGAAGAGAAGAGAATGTTCTAAAGCTGTGGTGATGCTGACACAACCCCACACACAAGGCAGAACCTACACCTGGAACAGGGGCACCGTAGGTATGGGACTCACACCCAGGAGAGCTGCTGTTTAAAAGCAAGAAGCAGACGCCTGCTCCGGACGGGGCGTGGAGGAACCTGCCCGTGCACTGCACCCAGAGTCCGAGAGACTAGCACCCAGCCAGAGCTGAGCTTACTGCCTGCCTCACTGCTGGACCCAGAATCTGCAGGGATGCTGCGTAACGCTGAGGGGGCAGTTGGGGAGATGCCAAGAGGTCCCAGGAGGCCAGGGTTGCACAGAGTGGGAACCAGTGAGGAGCCCTTGGCGTGCCAAGCCCAGGCCTAACAAGGGAGTGTGGCGCAGGGGGCAGTGCAGACCCAGCAACGCCACAGTCCAGTGGACCACGCTCACCTGGGACCAGGCTGGAAGGAGAGCCGAGGCTGAGGAGGCTGAAGCAGACACCGTTTCCTGATCCCGGGGTGCCGCGGGGCCTGGGAAGGGGCAGTCAGTGAGGCCCGCACGGCTACCCCAGCAGCTGTGCACCCCACACCCAGGCGCCAGCGCTGTCTCCTGCAGCACTTGCGTGTCCCTCAGCCCCACTCCCTAGTGGGCAGCTACTCACCCTTTTTTGGCCACAGCAGGGGACTCTCTTCAGGTCTGTGGCTCAGCTGAGCTGGGGGCTGATGGCTGCGAGAACCAGCCCCCTCCTCTGGGGCAGGCGCCTCTGGCCGAGCCTCTGCCTGGTGTTTGAAGCATTGTCCCCCTGGCCCAAGAGGCACTGTGTCGTCAGAAAGCATCTCAGGGTCCTGCACAGAGATCGGTCCACCAGGTTTCCAGAAGCGCAGAGGGAACCCCCTCACCGTAGTCCCCAATACCTCACCCCGAGCACGTGGGGCCAGCTTCCCACTTCTGGGGCTCTAGCTACAGGCTCGTTCCCTCTGCCTGCCTGTCACACGGCGCTCCCTCCAGCTTCCCAGTTTCCCAGCCCAGGGACTCCCTACCCGTCTCTCCTTGTCACAGGACGCTGTGTCTGGGCTCTCCCAAACAACTGAGTCAGGAAGGCCTGGAATCAGCGCTGTTTCATTTCAGACGTGCCTACTACTGCCTTTGCTGGGTTTTCTGGAATTACCTACCTACACACGTGCTGGTTGCTCTCTGCTGATCCAGGAAGGGTGAGCTGGATGAACCAGGGACTCAGAACTGAACTCTTTCACAGTACCATGAACCCCCCGGGACTGCAAAACCAGCACTGGGGACCCCCTCCCATATTTTTTTAAAGATTTATTTATTTATTTGAAAGACAAATTGAGTCAGAAAGAGAGAGAGAGAGAGAGATCTTCCATCTACTGTTTGCAACATCTAGAGCTGGGCCAGGCCAAAGCCAGGAGCCTGGAGCTCCATCTGGGTCTCCCATGTGGGTGCAGGGGCCCAGGCACTTGGGTCATCACCTGCTGCTTTCCCAGGAGCATCAGCAGGGAGCTGGACTGGAAGTGGAGCAGCCGAGACCTCACATGGGACGCTGGCGTCACTGGCAGTGGTTTAACCCACTGTGCCACACCGCCGGCTCCCGAAACCCATCACAGGCTTCCTCCCGTCCAGTGCTTCGGTCTCCAGGAGTAAACAGTCCTCTTGGAGAGTGAGGCCTGCCCCTCCCTGATCAGTGATCACCCTGTGCCTGGCAATGCAAGAACCCCAAACATCAAGGCCAGAGGGGATGAGAAGTGAGTCGGGATTTGCTTACTACGGTGAACTCACGTGTGGTTAGGTTTTGGGAGATCTGTCTACACTACTGGACTCAAAAGAACAGCACCGTGGGGCCAGAGCTGTGGCCCAGTGGGTAAAGCCACCTGTGACATCCCATATACACCTGGGAAAGCAGCAGAATACCTGAGCCTTGGGACCCTGCCACTCCTGGCCTAGCCCTGGGGGAGTGGACCAATGGACAGAAGCTACCTTTCTCTCTCTTTGTAACTCTGCCTTTCAAATAATAAATAAATATTTTAATACAAAGATTAAAAAACAGTACAGCTGTGTGGGGCCAATGGCACCAACCCAGGGAGAAAGGTGACCTCTCAGCATTGGCCAAACACCTACTCCAGGCAGGGCGCTGGGAAAGGGACGCAAACAGGGGCAGGACTCTTCTCTCTTAATCTTAGGAGTTCCTGGGACAGTCCCACGCTTCCCCACATTCGGCTGGAAGGACGTGGCCTCCAGTTGTGCTGTCCCATACAGTGGCCACTGGCCATGTGATGACACAGCCCCTGAAAGGTGGCCAGTGTGGCTGAGGAACCACATAAACTTTTTTTTTTTTCCTAATTCTTATTTGAAAAGCAGAGAGAGACAGAGAGATTGGTTCCAGACAGGTCTGTGCCGCAATAAAGCAAGCAGTCAGGAACTCGGTGTGGGTGGCACCATCACCTCCTGCCCGCAGGAAGCTGGAGCCGACAGTGGAACTGAGCCTGAACCTCAGGCACTCCGATACGGAAAGCAGGCGTCCTCAGGGCTGTTTCAACCACCCAGCCAAACGTCCACCCTAATTCTGCTGCAATCTAAGAAGCCGGCAGCTGCTGTTTCGGATGCCACCACTCTAGAGAAACTGGGCAACCGCTGAGGGCTCTGACTGGGGCTTTCTTCCTAGGACTGTTCAACTCCCAAAGCCTTAGACGGCGTCCAGGCTACGCCGAGATGACATCAGCCAGCCAACCACAGCTGCTGATCAGGAGCTGGTGTGCAGAGGGAGGCCGGCCTTGTGCTGCGACAGGGGGAAGCCGGTCTTGTGCTGCGGCAGGGGGAGGCCAGCAGGGGGAGGCCGGCCTTGTGCTGCAACAGGGGGGAAGCCGGTCTTGTGCTGCAGCAGCAGAGGGAGGCCAGCAGGGGGAGGCCGGCCTTGTGCCGCGGCAGGTGAAGCTGCTGCCTGTCACACCTGCATCCTGTTTGAGTGCTGCTCCAAGCTCCGGCTGCCCGCTCCCAAGCTAGATCCCTGCGAATGCACCAGGGAAAGCAACCAAAGATGGCCCAAGTGTTTGACCCCTGCCACCCACATGGGAGACTTGGGTGGCTTCAGCCTGGTCCAACCCTGGCCACTGTGGCCATTTGGGGATTTAACCAGCGGGTGAAAGAGCTCTCTCTGTGTCTGTCTCTGTCACTCTGCCTGTCAAATAAATAAGTAAATATTAGAAAAAAAAAAAAGAGAGAGCGCTAGTGCGGCAGTGTAGGGTTAATCCGAGGGTGCACACCAGGGACCCGGGTGAGGAACACTTAGGTGCACTCTTCAGACTCCCAGCAGCCCCCGGTGCTCCCAACAACCAGAACTGGCTGAGGCTCCAGGGCCCAGGCAGCCTCCACTCCCAGACCTCAGCTGGGGGGGGGCCCACCTTCCTCACCTCAGGGCCAGAACGCCCCCCACCTCACCCGCGGCCTCCGCCTCCTGGGCTCCCGCTGCAGCCCCTCCACCAGGACCACGGCCTCCTCACCGCTCCCGGGCTGCTGCTCCCGCACGCGGGCCTGGATGTCGCCCGGCAGCGCCGCCAGGAACTGTTCCAGCACCAGCAGCTCCAGGATCTGCTCCTTGGAGCGCAGCTCGGGCCGCAGCCAGCGGCAGCAGAGCTCCCAGAGCCGGCGCAGGGCGTCGCGGGGCCCCGCGGCCTCCTGGTAGCAGAAGAGCCGGAAGAGCTGGCGGAAGGTCTCGGGGCTGGGGTCTGGGGTCTCCAGGGAGGGCTCCTCTTCCCAGGAGAAGTCCTCCTCCACCTTCACAATCAGGATCTCCTCCTGCTCCAGGTCCTGCCCCAGGGGCGAGGCAGGGAGCGCACTGGATGCGGTCGCCATCGTTGGGGGGAGGGGCGGCTCGCTCCTCCGCCGGGCCCTGGACAGGACCTTGTCCAGCCTGTGTGGAGAGACAAAGAATCACGTGCAGGGAGGCAGGGAAAGCCCTCTGCGGCTGCAGGGCCAGCCACGCCACGCCGGCAGCGGGGAACCAACCCCGCTTTGCTCAGGCCCCGGCTAAGCTAAGGGACTCTGAAAACGAGGCGGCAACGCGGCCTGCACGCAGGATGCTTGGAAAGGACTGAGCGCAGGGCCCGCTGGGCCGCGCACGCTGCTCACTGTGGGGGTCCCGGGCCCTTAAGGGCTCTGGTGAAAACTGGGGTCCCTCCAGCCACCCAGGTCGCAGACTCCATCCCGACTTGAGCCCTGACCCCCGAGCTCCGCGCGCGCGCGGCCCCGTATTTCTGAGGGGATAGTCACCACAGCCCCTCCAACTTCTGGGCCTGGGGCCCGCCGGCCGGCCCGCCCCCCGTCTCAAGCCCGCAGGTGGAGGGAGGTGAGCGGGGTCCGACGCGGAGCACCCGCTACCTGACATTCTCGCGCCCACACTCACCAACGGCAGGCCTGGAGCGGAGCGAAGCCCCACGCCCGCGGTCCTCGGAAGACGGATCGCCTCGGACGTCAGTGACGAGAGCCGCCGTGCCCCAACCCGACACGCTGAGCGAGATTTGCGTGGGCTAGCTCACGGGAGGGCGTGTGCGAAATGTAGTCCTCACGCTATTGGCTGGGCCAGCTGTCCGTCGTAGGGACGAGGCGCGTGGACGGGCGAGTGTGATGCATTGTGGGTAACGTAGTTCTCGAAGGGAGGCGCTGAGGGCATCGGAGTCCGCACGGCGCCCACGCGCACGCTCCGCGAGCATGCGCGGAAGCTCCAGCCCAGCCTGCGCGGCGCCCTCGCCTGGTCTCCGCTGACCTGTCCGAGCGAGACAGGGGTGCAGAGGATCCTGGCGATTTAATTTTCACTGAGGTCGCGCTTCCTCTGTGCCAGGCACCGTTGGAAGCGCTTTGCAATGGGTGCTTCGGGTTCCTTTGAAGCAAGCCCGAGACCCGCGCAGCTCACAATGAAAGAGCCGGGCCCCAGAAAGGCCCCTGCGTTTTCGATTGCTTTTTAAAAAAAAAATTTTTATATTTTTTTTTATTTTTTATTTTTTTACTTTTGACAGGCAGAGTGGACAGTGAGAGAGAGAGAGAGAGAGAGAAAGGTCTTCCTTTACCGTTGGTTCACCCTCCAATGGCTGCTGCAGCTGGCACACTGTGCCGATCCGAAGCCAGGAGCCAGGTGCTTCTCCTGGTCTGCCATGGGGTGCAGGGCCCAAGGACTTGGGCCATCCTCCACTGCACTCCCGGGCCACAGCAGAGAGCTGGCCTGGAAGAGGGGCAACCGGGACAGAATCCGGTGCCCTGTGACGGCACCGCAGACAGAGCATTAGCCTATTGAGCCGCGGCGCCGGCCTTTTTTTTTTTTTTTAAATATTTATTGACTGATTTGAAAGGTAGAGCAACAGAGAGCAAGGGAGAGACAGAGAGAGAAAGCGATCTTTCACCTGATGGCCCACTCCCCAAATGGCTGCAACAGCCGGGTCTGGGCCAGGCCTAGGCCCGGAGCCAGGGTCTCTCACAGGGGTCGCGAGAGCCCGCGTACATGGACGGTGGTCAGCTGCCTTCTCAGGCCGTCAGCAGGGAGCTGGGTGGGAAGCTTAGCAGCCAGGACTCCAACCCCCACTGAGACTAAGACCCTGAGGGCTGCCGTTGTGGTCCAGGGGGTAAAGCCGCTACCTGCATAACCAGCATCCCGCATGGGCACTGGTTCCAGAGCCGGCTGCTCCACTTCCGATCTAGCTCTCTGCTAAGGCCTGGGAAAGAGTAGAAGACGACCCAAGTCCTTGGACCCCTGCACCCATGTGGGAGTCCCAGAAGAAGCTCCTGGCTCCTGGCTTTGGCCTGGTCTAGCCCTGGCCATGGCAGCCATTTGGGGAGTAGACCAGCAGATGGCAGATATTGCTCGCTCTCTTCTCTCTCTCTCTCTCTCTACCTCTGCTTCTTCTCTGTAGCGCTCTCGCGCTCTCTCTCTCCTTTGTATTTATTTGTTTTGTTTCGACAGGCAGAGTGCAGAGTGGAGAGAGAGAGAGAGAGACAGAGAGAAAGGTCTTCCTTTGCCGTTGGTTCACCCTCCAATGGCCGCTGCGGCCGGCGCACCACGCTGATCTGAAGGCAGGAGCCAGGTGCTTCTCCTGGTCTCCCATGGGGTGCAGGGCCCAAGCACCTGGGCCATCCTCCACTGCACTCCCTGGCCACAGCAGAGAGCTGGCCTGGAAGAGGGGCAACCAGGACAGAATCTGGCGCCCCGACCGGGACTAGAACCTGGTGTGCCAGCACCGCAGGCGGAGGATTAGCCTAGTGAGCCGCAGCATCAGTCTCTGTAGCTCTTTTAAATTAAAAAAACTTAAGACTGTGTTTGGGACTCCCAAGTCCCAGTTCCACCCCAGTCCAGCTTCCTGCTAATGTGTATCCTGGAAGGCAGCAGGTGATGGCCCAAGTGGTTGGGTCCCTGCCGCCCACGTGGGAGACCTGGATTCAGTTCCCTGACCCAGCTTTAGCTGTGGTAGACATTAGGAGAGTGAACCAGTGAATGGGAGATCTTTGTATCTCCCTCCCTCTGCCTTTCAAATAAATAAGCAAATTTGAAAATCCAGCAGCCAGCTCTGCAAGGGTACCCAAGGGAAACTACTCCTGCTGCTGTCCAGTTTGACGGCTTCCCGGGGCCAAGAGTGCATGCAGTCCCCTCCAGGTTCAAAGCACTCAGCTATCAGGGACAAGAGAAGGCGGAGCCACCAGAAAGGTACACCTGATTCTCCTGACAGACACGGAGGTGCGGGAGTAGCCGGAGGGGTCACTTTCCGTGCTGCTCTATGGACATACACAGCGACACCAGTTGGAATGGAACGGGACCATCAGTGAGCACCCCGGCTGGGATCACGCCGAATTGCCTCAAAACCAGCTCATCACTGCCGCCACGTGACTTCCCGCTAAAATGCGGCATTATTGAAGAATTAAAAACACATACCACCGCAGTAGGAAACTAATACGTGTCGGATGTGTGTGCAGCTGGTGGAAGGACGCTCCGTCTGCTGATACCCTTGTGGGAGCCTTTGCAAGCGTGTACACCTATCCACAGCTCCCAACCTCGGAGACTGCGACCGCACCCATGCGGACCACGTGCCAAAGCTGTCTCGCCGGAGTAGGTGCTGCTGGCATCTCATGGGTGGAGGCAGTGGACTCTGCTGCACATCCCGGCGTCCCTGTGGCTCTGGGCAGCGGAGACTGACTCGGCCCCGCAGGTCGGGAGTCTGAGGGCTCCATGGGAACCGTCACTGGAAAAGCAGCAGGTGCAGAGCTGAACGGTGGTTGCTTTGGACCTGCTGCAGGTGTCGCTGTGTTGCCGAGGGCTGCTCTCACGCTTGGGACTGTCTCTGCCCCGATGCAGCGACATGCCACCTCTGAGATGGCGGGGACAGGTGGTGCGTGTCCCCACGAATCCTGGGAGCTCCCCAAATCGAGCCCGCCTGGAGTGTGGGTGGAAGGGCAAGCTGGTGAACTCTGTGAGACCTGGCTAAGCGTCCCGAGCACCTGCCCCGTGCTGGACGCCTCTGCCCGCACACAGCTCGCAGTCTAAAGGGGGAGACTGACTCGAAAACAAACCGCGTGGTGCAGACATGGAGAAGCCAGCAAGGGCGGTACCTGCAGAAGTCAGGAGGGGTTCCCAGAGGAGGGGGTACTGCTACTTGCCATGGTCATTTACTGAATGAGCACCAGGTCCTTGCTGCTTACTGGAGAGTGGACATCCCCCAGCTCCCGCGGTGGCAGAGGTTACGAGTGACCGTCTCAGCTTTGGCCCCGACCACGTGGGACTCTGTGAAGCCCACTTGTTTCCGAGGGCTCTGGAGAGTCCTGGGAGGATGCAGCTCACACATCCTGCAGCAGGTGCTCTGCCTGGCTGGCTGCTGTGTCCCGTCAGCACCCTGCCTGTCTGTCTGCCATCTCTCTGGGTTCTGGCAGGCACATCCCAGGAACAGCAACACCAGGACTGGGCAAGGGCAAAGCTGGGGGCCGGGGACTCCATCCGGGTCTCCAGGTGGTGGTGGGGACCTGACCACTCGAGCCGACACCACTGCATCTCAGGTCTGCATCAGCAAGGAACTGAAGAAAGGAGCCGGAGCCTGATGTCAAACAAGGCACTCTGATGCAGGACGCAGGGCTCAACTGCGAACCTAAACATCCGCCCCGCCCTCGGCCTGCACTGAACGGATGGGATGGATCCAGGGGTCCAGTTTGCCACCAAGCCCTGCTTCTGGGGCAGAGGGGAAGCCCTCTAGTCCCCAAGACTGCCCAGGGCTCTGGGTCTCACACTGGAACTTAAAAAAGAACTACACGTTTATTGGAAGGTAGCACAAAGCAATAATTTACAAAACACCTCTCTGTTTTCCAAGCACAGCGTTTCATAAAAAACAATGTCCACCTTTAACAGGTGCTCTGCTAAACAGGTGCATGCTGGGAACCTGTGCGTGCTCAGAACTCATCCTCAGAATTGTCCTGGGCCCTGCTGTAGATTCTGGAGGGCTGGGGGCTGGACAGCTGACCTGCCACGGAGTAATCATCCTGAGCCCTGCTGTAGATTTTGGAGGACCTGGGGCTGGACGGCTGACCCGAGGTGGCATTGTCCTGGGCCCTGCTGTAGGCTTTGGAGGGCCTGGGGCTGGACAGCTGACCTGCTGAGGTGGCATCGTCCTGGACCCTGCTGTAGGCTTTGGAGAGCCTGGGGCTGGACAGCTGACCTGCCGAGGTGGCATTGTCCTGGGCCCTGCTGTAAGCTTTGTAGGGCCCGGCGCTAGACAGCTGACCTGCTAAGGCAGGATTGTCCTGGGTTCTGCTGTAGACTTTGAAGGGCCCAGGGCTGGACAGCTGACCCTCAGAGGCAGGGGCCAGGTTCACCCAGCCCGGCCCGCGGGGCAGCAGGTGGCTCTCGTTGAGCCTGACGACGCGGTAGTTCTCGTAGTGGACATTGTGGGTGATGTCCTTCAGGTCCTGCAGGTGGGAGCTGGGCAGGGGGAGGTCGGTCGGCGCTCGCCAGGGCGTCCCAGGGGCTCCCTGTCCCCAGCCCCAGGGCTCCCCGCATCCTCACCGGATGAGCAGATCTCTCAGGAGAGGAAACTCACAGTGCGCCATGTTCTCCACTGCAAGACACGGTACTGAGTGTGGCTCTGCTCCGCCTCCCCACCCTCGCGAACACAGAGCAAGCGCCTACCGCATGCTGCGGGGCTCCCGACGCCTGCCATTGCCCCTCTCCACGAGGTTCTGTCTGATCCCACCTCTCCTTCATCAGTTTGTTCATTCGCTAGTTCGCTTGTTATCACGTCCCCAGGGCACAGCGAGTCCACTGGTCATTATCACACGGGGCATACTGCACTATGGACCACGTTGTTCGTAACCCATCGAAGCTCTGCCCTGGCGGCTACTCCTCTCTCACTCTTCTCTCACCTTCAGGGGCCTTCCCAGCTCCCTGCAGGGGTCCCCCCTGCCCCATCAGTGGTCAGGGCCCTTGTCAGTCCTGCTGTCGCTGCCAGGCTCAGCACACAGTAAATTCAAGGGCGCCATGCAAAGTGGTGGCTCCAGCCACCCTGCGTGGTCTGCTCAGAGTCGGGGGTCTTGCCCAGGGCTTCGCAGCTGGGAAGCCGGACCCTTCCCCAGGCCCACCATCTGCCCTGTCTGTAGGCTGAGCACCTCGGGCCCGGGAGGGCCGCCACCCTCACCTGCACCCTGCCCCACGGCCCCGCACCAACCTTCAATGATGCCCCACTTGGTCTTCCGACCCAGGACACACTTCCCGTTCACCAGGTGCTCTCGGTCAGCCCCGACCACAGCAAAGGGGATCCGGTCCTGGGGGAGGAGGGGAGGCAGATGGGACCCCCAGTGAGGTGGAGGAGAGACGGCAGAGAGAGGGCACCAGGGCACTGCCCTTTGTGGAGAGCATGGGAGTTCTGTGGGGCCCGGGGACTCGGTCGGTGCTAGCAGCAAAGTGCTCGGTGCAGCAGAGGGTTAGCGGAGCAGCCCTGGGAGAAAGGGAGCTCCCGCCAGCTGTGAAACACACAGTGTCACCAGCTTCGGGGTCATCACGAGGGTTGCAGAGGTGACTGTGGGGCCTCGTGGTTAAGATATCCGTGTCCCAGGGCCGAGTCTGGCTCAGCTTCCCGCCACTGCAGACGTCGGGAGGCAGCGGCGGCGGCTCAAGTGACTGAGTCCCTGCCACCCACAAGGGGGACCCAGGTTGAGTTCCCAGCTCCTGGCTTCAGCCTGGCCCGCCTGGTGCAGGCATTTGGAGTGGGGGAGTGAAGCAGTGGGTGGGAGTTCTGTTTCTCTCTCTTGATCTCCACCTCCCTCAGAAAACAAAGACGTAACTTAGTAAATCGGAAGAGGCAGGCTGTGGCTCCTGGGCTCGACTGTGCCCCCTGCCCGTTTTCCTCCATCATGTCCATCAGCACGCAGTTAAGCCCACCCGCTCACTCCCGACTATGGCTGCAGAACAGAGCAGTTGCAGCAGGGCCACCGAAGCCACACGGCAGAGCCGTCAACCAGCCGTCTCCAGTTGTCTCCTCACTCAGGGCCAGAAGCGGAAATGTAAACTTGTAAACTCCAGAACACCATGTGTGGGTTTGTCTGTCTGCCTTCTTTCCTTCCTCTTTTTCTTTGAAAGGCAGAGTGACAGAGAGAGAGAGAGAGACAGAGAGACAGAGAAAGAGAGAGAAACAGAGAAAGGCAGAGACAGAGAGAAACAGAGATCATCCATCTGCTGGTTTACTCCCCAACTAGCTGTAACAGCTAGGACAGGGCCAGACCAAAGCCAGGAACCCAGAACTACAACTGGGCCTCCCATGTGGGTGGCAGGGCCCAAGGACTTGGGCCATCTTCTGCTGCTTTCCCAGGTGCATAAGCAGGGAGCTGGATCAGAAGTGGAGCAGCCGGGACTCCAGCTGGCACCCATACGGGATTGCCGGGTAGTTTAACCTGCTGCACCACAACACTGACCCCTCCTTTTTATTTTCTAATCTGTTCATTTTTGTAGTATTTGAAAGGCAGAGAGACACAGAAAGAGACATCTTCCTCCTGCTGGTTCATTTCCCAAAGACCTGCCACAGCCAGGGCTGGGCCAGACCAAAGCTAGAGGCCTAGCCAGGGCTGGGCCAGAAGTCCACCCTGCCCTCGGCCTGGAGTCCTGGAACTCAATCTTGGTCCCCAGGTGGGTGGTGCGGCCCCAAGTACTTGGGTCATCATGTGCTGCCTCCCAGAGTGGGCATTAGCAGGACGCTGGACTCAGAAGTGGAGCTGACACTCAGGCCCATGCATTGCCATTCTTGGGCATCTGAGTAGCCTCGCCACCACTGCCCCGAGAGCCCACCGTGCTGCCCTTTCCTAATCCAGGCAGGAGCACGGCGCGGGGGAGCAGAGTCCCTGGGTGAAGGGGCTGGAGCGGGGGTCTACGGTGACGAGTCCCGGGGCTCTGGGGCTCTGGGTGGACTGGCACTGACCGTGTCACACAGGCACCGGGATGGGGACTGAGAACAGGACTTGAGCAGCTTCAGAGACACGAACATAGGAGCTCCCTCCTCCCTGCCTAACAGCTCTGTGGAGGTCTAACTCACACCAGATAGTTCGTCCCTTCAAAGTGGACTCTAACATACAAGGTTATGCAACCATCATTGTCTCTAACTCTAGAATGTTCTCATTACCCCCCAAAAGGAACCCTTTAGTACCTTTTACTCCCTTTGCCTGCTCCCCCAGCCCCCGACAATCACTGCTTTGTGGATTTGCCTGTTGTGGACATTTCATCAAAACGGACTCATGCACTCTGTGGTCTTTTGCAACTGGCTGCTTCCACTGAGGCCTGTGTGTGCAAGGTCCCTCTGCAGTGTGGTGTGGTGCATGTCTGCCAGTGCTTTGTTCCCGTGGTGCGGGCCTTCGGGTCGGTGGTTAAGACGCACACGTCCCACATTGGAGTGCCCGGATTGGAGTCCCTGTTCTACTTCCTAGCCACCTTCCTGCTGATGCACACCCTGGGAGGCAGCAGGTGATGGCTCAAGTGGTTGGGTCCGAGCTGGTGTCGGCTAATCCTCTGCCTGCGGCGCCGGCACACCGGGTTCTAGTCCCGGTCAGGGTGCCGGATTCTGTCCCGGTTGCTCCTCTTCCTGTCCAGCTTTCTGCTGTGTCCCGGGAGTGCAGTGGAGGATGGCCCAAGTCCTTGGGCCCTGCACCTGCATGGGAGACCAGAAGAAGCACCTGGCTCCAGGCTTCAGATCGGTGCAGTGTGCCGGCCGCAGCACACCGGCCACAGTGGCCATTGGGGGGGGGTGAACCAATGGAAAAGGAAGACCTTTTTCTCTGTCTCTCTCTCTCTCACTGTCCACCCTGCCTGTTAAAAAAAAAAAAAAAAAAAGAGAGAGAGAACTTGGGTCCCTGCCACCCATGTGGGAGACCAGGATGGAGTTCTGGGATCCTGGCTCCAGCTGGTCCAGCCCCAGCTGTTGGAGGCATTTGGGGAGTGAGTCAACAGAGAGAAAGAAGCTCTCTCTGTCTTGCTCTCTCTCTCTCTCTCTCTCTCACTTGGCCTTTCAAATATAATAAACAAATGACAACTTACAAAAGTAAGAAGTTTGCCATGGCATGCAAAGACTGCTGGCCATGGGCTTGTTTTGCACGTTGGCTATTGTGAGCCACGCTGCTGGTGCACTGGGGCACAAGGCGTGAGCACACGTGTGCACCCTGGGTGTGCACCCAGAAACGCAGCAGCTGGGACCCACAGTGACTGCTGCTCAGCTGCTCAGAGCTGCCAGGCTGGGTTCCAAAGAGGTTGCCCCCTCATTTTTCACTCCTCCCAGCTGTGTGTGAGGGTCCACCCCGCCACAGTGCAACAACACTCTCTGTTTATATCGTTCAGTGCGGTCTATCCCCTTGAGGTGTCTGGGTCATGGGCCGGGGATGGAGTAGTGACAGCTGGCAGGAGGAAGCACCTCACATTTCCCGAGTTGTAGAGACCAATGTTTAGGTGGAGAGTTTGCACAGAAAGACTGTTCCCCCAATCTGTCTCCTCGGCTTCTGTCCCCCAGCCTCCGTCCCCCGATCTGTGTCCCCTGGCCTCTGTCCCCGCCTGCCCCCCATCCCCGGCTCTCACCCGGATCTTGCTGTTGAGGATCCTGTCGTTGATGTCCTCGTCAAAGCACTTCTGTGGATACACGTCGATGCAGTGACTTCTCAGGTTTTGCTGGATCTGGGCCCGCACACAGGAGGCCTCAGTCTTCCCTGCCCACCCTGCCCCCTGCCACACTGGCCCCAGCCCGGCCCCAGGCACCCGGGTCACCCTGGTCCTGAAGGCCTCTCGCTCTTCAATGGTCAGGCTGTCCGCCCGGGCGATCACGGGCACCACGTTCACCGTCCGGCACAGCCGCTGCAGGAACTCAATGTCCAGGGGCCGCAGGCTGCCCGGGCAGGGCAGGGCCGGGCCGGTGGTGGCAGTGGGGAGTGTGTGTGAGGGGCAGGAAGCCCCCAGCCCACCTCAGGACCCCTCGCCCTCCTCCTCCCTGCCCCACACTGGCAGCCCTGCCCACCGCCAGCCCGGCCACCTCACCAGTGCCCGGTGGGCGGCACGAAGTACACGCAGCAGTGCACGCGGGTGTCTGGGATGTGGCGCTGGCGGGTGATGAGCAGCTCCTCCTGCAGGAACTGCTCGTACTGCGCGTTGATGTAGCCCAGGATGGGGTCCCAGCTGGGGCGGCAGATGAACCCTGCCCTCGGAACCCCGTCCCGCCTCCCCTGGGGCCCTGGAGGGGTTCGCCCTCAGGGCGGCCCATTGTCCAGGGCCGCGTGGTCACCCACTCCCCTGTACCATGGGGAGATGCAGAGGCCCCTGCCTCTCTCAGCTTGTCTCTGAAATGGGACAGTGCCACCCACTTTTGGGGGGGGGGTGTCGACCTGGCACCTCTCCCCTGTCCCTACCCTCAGGCTGCGGTCAGCTCTTCTGCTCCACCTCCACTGGCCACACAGAAAGAACCTCTGCGGCCCCCAAGGCCCTGCAGTGTCTTGTGCCCCTCCCCGCTCCTCCCTGTCCTCTCTCACTGAGACCTCTGGGCACCCCAGACTGGGCCTCAGGGCACCCCAGGCCCTCTGCCTGCACCCTGGCCTCTGCCTGGAGCGCTGTTCCCCAGCACCACACACGCCTCGCGCCCTCGTCTCTGGGAAGCTTTGCCCACACGCCACCTTTCAGTGGGCTTTTCCCCATCACCTCCCTTACAGCCGCACCCTCGCTGCCTTTTTTTCCTCTGCTAGACTCGGCACATTCTGACCGACCGTGACGCCGGCTGTGGGCGCCCTGGTATATCCACGACCCCCCCGATTTCCCTGCTTGCCCCAGTGGAGCTGTCTCTCTCTCTGGGGTGCCTGGGTCTAGCCTCACCTGCTGTGTTAGCTGATGGGCTTCATTCTGCGTCTGCCCCTGCCAGCCCTGAGGTGGCAACTCCACGGAGCCCAGCACACTCATCCGCCCCGCCCATGGCTGTGTCCACAGCAGAGGTGGGCACACAGTAAATGCTCAGTAAGCCATGTGTGCGGCTGGCTTCACAGGTTTGTGAGTGGAGGGGTTGCACACAGCTCTGAGCTTAGAGGGTGCTGTGCTTGGTGGCGTGCTTTGAGGTTGTGGTCCCCCAGTTCTTACAAGTTTTGAACAAGGGGCCTCACCCAGGCTGTCATCCCTCAGGGTCCTGCAGAGTATGCAGCCTGTCCTGTGTCCGTGTGTCCGTGTGCATGCGTAGGTGTATGTGAGTGGTGACTGTGTCCATGTGTGTGACTGTGTGTGAAGGTGTGTGTGTGTTTGTGCATGTGTATTGTGAGTTGTTTTATTTTTATTTTTATTTATTTATTTATTTATTGACAGGCAGAGTGGACAGTGAGAAAGAGACAGAGAGAAAGGTCTTCCTTTGCCGTTGGTTTACCCTCCAATGGCCGCCGTGGCCGGCGCGCTGCGGCCCGTGCACCGCGCTGATCTGAAGGCAGGAGCCAGGTGTTTATCCTGGTCTCCCATGGGGTGCAGGGCCCAAGCACTTGGGCCATCCTCCACTGCACTCCCTGGCCACAGCAGAGAGCTGGCCTGGAAGAGGGGCAACCGGGACAGAATCCGGCACCCTGACCGGGACTAGAACCCGATGTGCCAGTGCCGCAAGGCGGAGGATTAGCCTAGTGAGCTGTGGCGCCAGCCGTGTATTGTGAGTTGTGACTGTGTTCATGTGTGCATGTGTGACTGTGTATGGGTGTGTATGTGCACATATGTGACTGTGTGTGTGCGAGTTGTTAGATTGCTCATGCGTATTTGTGTGTACATGTATGTGTGTACCTGAGTGTGTATTTGTGTACATGTGTAAGTGTCTGAGTATGTACGTGTGTATATGAGTGTGTGCACTTTGTCCATGCGTGACTGTGTCCATGCATGGCGGTGTGAGTGTATGTGAATGCATGTGTGTGTGCATGTGTGTGACTATGTCCATGTGTGTATGCGAGTGAACGGCTGTGTCCCTGTATGTGTGTACATGAGTTATGTGATTGTATGTATGTGACTGTGTGAAGGTGTGACTGTGTCCATGTGTTTGAGTGTGTACCTGTATGTGTGTGTGTGTCTGAGTATGTATGCACGTGTCCATGTGTATATGTGTATATGGGTGTGTGATATCTGAGTGTATACATGTGTATGAGTGTGTACCTGTATGTGTGTGTGTGTCTGAATATGTATGCACGTGTCCATGTGTATATGTGTATATGGGTGTGTGATTGAGTGTAGGTGAGAATATACACATGTATGAGTGTGTACCTGTATGTGTGTGTGTCTATGTATGCACGTGTCCATGTGTATATGTGTATATGGGTGTGTGATTGAGTGTAGGTGAGCATATACACGTGTATGAGTGTGTACCTGTATGTGTGTGTGTCTGAGTATGTATGCACGTGTCCATGTATATACGTGTATGTGGGTGTGTGTATATGAGTGTATACATGTGTATGAGTGTGTACCTGTATGTGTGTGTGTCTGAGTATGTATGCACGTGTCCATGTGTATATGTGTATATGAGTGTGTGATTGAGTGTAGGTGAGAATATACATGTGTATGAGTGTGTACCTGTATGTGTGTGTGTGTCTGAGTATGTATGCACATGTCCACGTGTATGAATGTGTACCTGTATGTGTGTGTGTCTGAGTATGTATGCACGTGTCCATGTGTATATGTGTATATGGGTGTGTGTATCTGAGTGTATACATGTATATGAGTGTATACTTGAGTGTGTACAAGTGTATACATGTGTATGAGAGTGTGTGCGTGCACCAGCTGCTCTCAGAGCCCAGAACAGCTCTACAGGGTGATACCAAGTGACAGCAAAGGAAACTGGCTCCAGCCTACACTGCTGGAGAGTGGCCGGACGCAGCGGTGCTGACCTGAGCTGGGCCTCTAACTGCTGTGACACCACGGTCCCTACTCTGCACTCCTTGTGCCCCGGGCAGCAAGCCAAGCCCTTTACACACTCAGCTCCCTGCACCCACTATGCAGGGGAGGAAGCCAGGCTCAGAGATGACCTGGCCAGGCTGCTTCAGGGCTCGGGAGCTTCCCAGAGGTCGGGGGCAAGGGTGGGAGCGGGACAGCCAGGCCAGCCCCCACCCCCGGAACCCACCACTTGTCGTTGTTGATCTGGTCCCCAAAGCCGGGCGTGTCAATCACCGTCAGTTTCAGCTTCACGCCCTTTTCCTCGATGACTGTGGAGGCAGCAGGGCGGGTGAGGGCTCGGGGCTGGGGGTGGGGGCTGGGGCACGCGAGCCCACGCACATGGCCCACTCACCATGGGTCACTGCATGCAGCTTCAGTGTCTGGGGGGTGGTCACCCCCAGGCCTGGCAGGGTCGACTTCCACACTTTGGACCTGAACAGCGTGTTCACCATGGTGGACTTGCCCAGCCCGCTCTGCCCTGGAATGACCAGATGACAGCAGTGACAGTGGGCATTTCTCACAGTGCCCCTCAAACTCTCGCATAAGTAACACTTTTTACAAAGCAGCTATTGTAGTGCGCACACACACAAGGGCTTGTTCTCCTGGGTGTGCGCTGGGGCATCCCGGAGTCGGCCGCTCCCCGCCGCTCGGTCTGAGCTTCATGGGCCATCTTGGTCTTTACTGACCCTGCGACTCCCACATGTTCAATGACAACACCCTGTGGGTGCCATCCTCTGGCCCACCACTTAACCAACGGGGAGCTGGGGCTGTGCAGAGGGGAGCCTTACCCAGGCACACGGGGTCTCACTCACCCACCACCATGATGTTGAACTCAAACCCCATCTTCATGGCCTTGATCTTCAGCTGGTCCAGCACGGCTTCAATGCCCACGAGACCTAACATCTCGCACGGTGGGGTCCTGGGGCTGGAGGGCCGGGAGGAGCAGGGGGAAGGGGACTGCCGCAGGGGGTCCATGGGCGAGGGTGCAAGGATGCCTGTCACCCAGGGGGCGGGGAGAAGGCCTGCGTCACTGGGGCTCTCAGGGGGCCAGGCTGAGTCCTCACATCTGAACCTGACTCCTGGCTTTGCTGCCAGTCCCTCCCCCCCCACCTTACACCCCTGGTCTGCCCTGAGTCCCTGTGGGCCAAGGCCTGGGGGGCCTGAACCCCCATCCTGAGGTGCTCCAGCCCCCAAGGCCTGTGCTTCCCCCACCCACAGCCCAAGCGGGTCCTGGGACTCTTGGGGGCAGGGGCACCTGGTGGGTGTGGGTCCCTGTGGGAGTGGCCAGGAATGGCTCAGTCCTGGCAGGCCCTGGTGTGTGTGGCAAGGGGGAGGGGAGAGAGTGACAGTTAACGGAAGACTCTGAGTTCTGTGCCTCCTTCCTGGGGCCTCCTTGCGCAGCAGGCAGGGACCGAGGGCAGGGAACGGAGATGTGGTCTTCCAGCCCTTTGTTCCTGCAGACCACCCCCAACCAGCCTGGCCTGGCTCTACGCCCACCCCACCTCCACACGGCTCCCTCCACCACGGCCATGAGCCGGTCAGTGGCTGAGCTAAATTCAACTTCCATGCCCATGACTCTCAGCTGCTCTGCCTGGGGAAGCAAAGCTGGGACCCAGGGCTCAAAGCAGTTCCTCCATGTGCCTTCTTTGGTCTGCCATTGTGGGCGGTGCGGTATCTTCAACCACCAGTGTTGATCCACCAGGAGAATGATTCGGCAAACACTTAACCTGGCATGTATTGCATACCTGGCACTGTTCTGGGAGCCGTGACATGTTGGCTGGCTACTAAACACCAGCACCCTGGGAGGGGAGTGCTGTTCCTACCCCCACCTTACAGGGAAGACAGAGACCAAGAAAACTGCTCCAGGTCATGCAGTGAGAACCTGGCGGAGCTGGGACTTACCCAGACACTTCTGCTCCGAGTCCATGTTCTTAGTCCCTACTGTCTCTTGTATTCACAGAAGTGTCTGGATTTCCAAAGCGTCATAGAGACCGCAGCCCTGCCCACTCTGGGCTCGGGCCACAGCTGCCGGCAATGCCCTCTCTAGAGGGGCAGTGTGCTCTCCAGCTTGCCACAGTCCCTGCTCCCCTGTATTGTCTCTCTGACGAGGTTTTCTGACAGCCGACGCTGACAGCCCTAAGCACCTCTCAGTTGCAGGCTTTGGCCAGGGGTTTCCATAAGGAGGCGGAGCACCCTTGTTTTAGGTCTGGCTGGTCCTAAGGCCTCTGTTGCAGCTACCACGCGACTCTCGTCACAGCACCGGCCAGAGGCAACACGTAAACCCATGGTGTGTGGCTGTGTCACAGTGACACTATATAGGCGGCCCTTCCTATCAGGGCGTTCCACACGCCAGCCCCATCAATCAGCTGCAGACGGAAAATATTACAGCAAACAAAATCGCGCCGGTACTGCATCTTGTCACCGCTCCCTGAACAACAGGTGTTACCAGCGATTCTCGCAGCCGGTGTGCACCTTAGGTATTCTAAGTCACAGTGGAAAGACAGCATCTGGGAAGACGTGGGCAGTTGCTATGCAAATACTACACAAGGGATTCGAGCATCTGCAGGTTCCAGAAGCAGTCCCCCGGGGTACCCAGGGTGACTATAAAGCCACTGTAGCCTCAGCTGCCCTGAGCTGAGCCCCGGTCCTCCTCTCTCCACTGCCTCTGCCCGCCCTTCTTCCTTGCTGTGTCTACACGGCTGACAACAGAGGCTTGACCTTACAGGCTTTGAGGAGGGGAGCCTGGCTGGGACCACACGTCCATTTCTTTCTTTCTTTTAAGATTTATTCACTTATTTGAAAGGCAGAGATACGCAGAGAGAGAGAGCCAGAGAGAGAGATCTTCCATCTACTGGTTCACTCCCCAAATGGCTGCAATGGCACGGTTGGCCCGGGTTGAAGCCAGGAGCCAGGAACTTCATCTGGGTCTCCCACATGGGTGGCAGGGCCCAACTATTTGGGCCTTCTTCCACTGCTCTCCCAAGCTGGACGGGAAGCAGAGCAGCCAGGACCAGAACTGGTGCTCATATGGGATGCCAGGTCCCAGGTGGTGGTTGAACCTGCTGCACCACAATGGGGGCCCCTATTTCTTTTAAGACATTTTCATTTTATTTCAAAGGCAGAAAGGGGAGGCGACAGAGAGAGAGAGAGAGAGAGAGAGAGAGAGAGAGAGAGAGAGATCATAATCTTCCATTCCCTGGTTCACTCCCCACATGGTCACAACAGCCAGGGCCGGGCCACACTGAAGCCAGGAGCCAGGAACTCCAAACGAATCTCCCACACGGGTGCAGGGACCCCAGCACTTGAGCCATCACTCGCCGCCTCCCAGGCCACACATTTCTCAGGAAGCTTGATCGGAGCAGGGAGGCTGGGACTGGACCAGGCCCTGCAGATGTGGGATGCCGGCGTCCCAGGTGGTGGCCATTCGCTGACTCAGACCCCTGCCCGACAGTCCCGGCCGTCAGCGTGCGGCACGAGGCCCCCTGGAAGCATAGGAGAGTGGAGCCACATCGTCCCGGGGGGAAATTCTGCTTCCCGGAGTGTTGCAGGATTCTGTGCAGGGGAGACTCCAGGCCAGCCGTCCCCTAGAGTGACAGTGAATTCTGCGGATGAGGACAAGCATCGTGGAGGCTGCGGTTGGTGAGGTCCAAGGAGCCCCTGTGGGCTCGGGGCTCAGTGCAGAACTCAGCCTATCCTCGGGAGGCTTCCAGGGCACAGCTGACTGCAGAGCCAAGTCCGAGAGGACCCGAGTCGCGGGCATCGTGGACAGGTGTGCACTGAGCCCAAGTTCATACAGAAGGCAAGAAGACTGGAGGGAGCCGCCCCGGAAGCACGGAGCCAGCGGTGCTGGTGTCAGTGCCCACTCCCCGTGAACCTGCCACGGTGCCACAGGGGCTCCAGTGTTGGTCATTTCACTGAATCCCCCCGCCATATATACAATATACCCCTTGTACGCATGGGGAAATGGAGGTAAGAAGGAGTTGAGTGAATGTGTCCAAGCTCACATGTTGGTGGAGTTAAGATCTAGGATGGGAGCCCCTGCTATGGAGTTGCAGGTTAGCTGACACCTGGCATTCCACCTGAGCCCTGGTTCAAGTCCTGGCTGCTCCACTTCGAATCCAGCTCGGTGCTAATGTTACCTGGGAAAGCAGTGGGAAGATGGTTCAAGTACCTGGGCCCCTGCCACCCACGTGGGAGACTGGATGGAGTTCCTGGCTCTTGGGTTAGGCCTGGTCCAGTGTGGCATTCGGGGAGTAAACCAGCAGACGGGAGATACTTGTCTCTCCCTCTCTCTTCTTTGTAACTCCACCTTTCAAATAAATCTTTCAAAAAGAAGACAAGATGAGGAACGGACTCTCCCCTTGAACTTTCAAAGGAACGTGGCATGGCCAGCCTGCTCTGCTCTCTGCGTTGCAGGCCGTAGGACGGGAAGTTTGAGTTGTCTGCAGCCACGGAGCCTGTGATGTGTGACTGCAGCGGGAAATGAAGCCATCGGGTGTGCGGCCTAGGCTAGCTCCTTAACTTCTCCAGGCCCTCGTCTGCTCGTCTGTACAGCGGGAACACCCGTCAGCGTGGCCTGAAGAATAAGGCAGGGGGCACATCAGTGCTGGATGCAAAACTCCCTGTAGCTAACGTCTGTCGCCCGCTCGACCACAAGCATCTACAAGACAAGGAGCTGTCCACCTGGCCTGCAGCCCTGCGTCCAGGCCACACCCCACCAGGCCCTGTGTCCTGAAAGAAGAGGCAGGCGGGCTGCTCACCCTGTGCCGTGGAGAGCGATGTCAGGGGTCAGCGGCTGCTGGTCCCACGGGCAGTCTGCGAGGCAGTAACCACCACCTTGCAAAGGTATTTTGAGGATGAAGGTAGCCCAAGGACCTTTGGGGCCTGGTGCGGCTGCCCTAACTGCCCTGGGAGGGGAGTGGAATGTGGACAAGCCCTTCCTCCTTTCTCTGTCATGCGTGAAGGCGGCAGCGACTGGGTGCCCTTGGTTCCAGGCTGCTGGGCTGCGGCAAACTAAAGATAGGCCAGCAACCCTTCCCCGGGCCCTGCAGCACTGAGGCTTCTCCTGTGGGCTGAGGCAGGAAGCACACCTGCTGAGCCTGGGGGAGGGCGGGGCTGGTTGCCAAGGCCTCAGGTGAGGTGGATCCGGAAGCAGGAAGCACACTGCACTCCTTAGGACCCGGGGCTGGGCCAGCTCAGAAGCTTCCTGGTGCTGCAGGGGGCCTGGCCAGGTTCAGAGCAGGGGTCAGAGGGCCGGGTCTGGGACAGAGGCAGGGGCGGGAGGGGGAGAGGCCGGGCCTGACAGCAGCCCAGGGTTCTGAGGTGGTCCCTGGGGGCCAGGACAGCTGCGCCCAGAACGCACCTGCCAAGATGAGTGTATCCGTGGAGGAGCTGGAGGCCGCGGCCAAGGAAGTGCTAGGCAGACTGAAGAGCCACCAGCTGTTCCAGTCCGAGTGGGACACCGCGGCCTTCATCGTCTTCCTCACCTTCATCGGTGAGCGGTGAGCGGTGGGCGAGGCCCTGCCCCAGCCCCAGGTCAGAGGCTCCATCTAGACACCCCCCTGTGCCCCCCCAGGCACTGTGCTGCTGCTGCTGCTGCTGGTCATTGCCCACTGCTGCTGCTGCTGCTGCTGCTGCGCCTCCCCTGGGACCCCCCGGAAGGTGAGCCCCCGGAAGGTGAGCGCTGCTTGCCTCCGGGGCAGCCTGGAGTTCCACCAGGGGTGGGGGTGGTGGAGGAGGAGGGCAGGGGAGGGTGCAGCCCGAGAGAGGCTGGGGGAACCCAAACATGAACCCCGCTGGGCCCCTCTCTTGCAGGAAGGCCCCAAGGGAGTGGACAACTTGGCCCTGGAGCCTTAACACCGCATCCAGCCAGCCCCTTCTTGAGTGTGCCCCAGGTGACAGGAACAATGCCTTGTGTTTGCCCAGAGCCTGATTCTTGACTGTGTTCCAAGCCTCACTGGGTGGGGACTCCTGTCTCACTGAGATGGTGCCCCTCCTCGCCTCAGCTGGGGGCTGTGCCCTGCCATTCCACGCCACCCAGCTAATGGCAGGAAAACTGGCTGTCTGGGCACGAACTTCAGGCCGAGCTCTCGACCCTGTCCCTCTCAGCCTTGGAGGCCCCTCTCTAAGGTGGGTTCCGTGTCCAGCTTCGGCGTGGTGCTGGGCTCTGGGAAGAGGGCTGCCAGTTCTTGAAGCTGATGGCTACTGACCACTGGGGACCCTCACCTGGTCCCCACCCAGACAGGACAGACAGACCAGGGCTCCAGTGATGTCTGATGAACTGTATTTCCTAGAGGTCTCATGGCAGCACAAACATAGCCAAGGGTATGCAGCTCACTCACGGGGAGAGCGTCCACCGCCCCGTTGGGCCCCCTCCTCCCCGCCCCTCACCCGGCCACCGGACGCAGCCGAGAGGGAAAGAAGAGGAAGGAGCGTCCAGGGCCTGGCCCCATCCTGAGTCCAAAGGTTCCTGAGGTGTCCAGGCCAGCCGGGCTTGGAATGTGGGCCGCCCCGTGACCGGCCTTCCTGACTGTCCCTCCAGCATACCACCAGATCGGGGCCCTTCCTCCCGGCGCTGTGTGTCCACTCCTATCTGTGTGTTTTCGACAGTATGGGTGAAGCAGAGATATGCGGCCTGCAGGGCCCACCTCTGGCTGGCACCCCAAAGGGTGGGGGTGGGGACAGGCTCCTGGGGTCCTCGGCTTAGAAGGGTCTGTAACTCCAGTAACTGGAGAACACGGAGATCTGTGGAGGACAGGGCACGGTCAGCAGGTGCTGGCGTGTGGTCAGTGGGGGCTGGGAGTCAGCTGGGTTTCCCTGGATGGAGCCACGCGCTGGCCCACGCACCCTCCGTGGCCAGGTGAGATGGGAAGGTCAGCTAGGGCCAATGTGTCTGGGACAGGCACGTTCGCCAGTGACACCACGGCCCAGGTGCCTGGCCCGAGCGTGGGGGTGCAATGGCCTTCGGGACCTGGGGACACCTGGGAGGTGTGATGAGAGCCCCTGAACGTCCCCCCGTGAGGGCTGGGCCAGCAACTCCCCCCACCTTATCCTTGAGCTGCTGGCAGAGCTGCAGGGAGACGGTGAAGTAGACGAGGGCGTCGTTGAGCCAGGGGATCACGCACTCCACCTTGTGCACGTGGCTGACCTCCAGGCGCTGCGCGCCCCACTCACTGGCAGGTGAGGGGCAGGTTCCTGAGAGGGGGCCGGGTCCAGCCCCCAGGTGCAGAGGGGTGGGGTGGAGGCATTCCGGGGCCAGGCCCCCCCCCCCATACTTACAACATGGCCCCAGGGCTGTGGAGCACAGCGCCTCCAGATGGGCGGAAGTTCTAGGGACAAGAGCCCCAGTCCCGGTCAGGCGGAGCTCGGCCCGCGGGTCTGGGGGCCGGGGGTGGGGCAGGCTCTGCTCACCTTGGTGGAATTGGGCTGCAGGGCGTGCAGCTGGTACACGGTGAGGCAGAGCTTGTTGAGGTTGATGTAGACGTTCACCAGCAGGTCGGAGGGCAGGGCGGGGGCGAACATCCGCTGGGGGCGGCAGGTGGGATGAGACCCCAACCACCCCCACTGACCAGAGCTGCACCGCAGCCTGGGGCCTGGACCCATTCGCAGAGTGGGGAGGAGACGTTCATCCCACGTGCTGGGGCTTCTAGATTTTTCTCAGGCACCCAAAGTAGGTTCCTGCACTGCCCAGTTTAGAAGCCTCTGACCCAGGCAGGGTTAACGTGTTGGGGAGCACAGGGCGGGGATCAATGGTACTGACCGTGAGGCCGCTGGCAGCAATCTCGGACAGGGTGAGGGTGGCCGGCGTGGTGAGCCGGTTGCGGGCTCTGGTCAGCTGCAGCATCACGGCATCCATGAGCTGGGGGAGGGGCGGGTCACAGCCACTGTGGGTGATGGGACAGGGCCCGGCACCAGGGGCAGCGGTCACTGTCGCTACTGCCAGGTCAGAGTTCTCAGCCTGCAGTGGCCTGGCGGGGGGGGGGGGGGGGGGGGGTTGGAGCTCTGGGGGGTGAGCCCAGGGATCGAGGCTGTGCACACGGGTGGGCGGCAGTGCAGCTCAGGAGGGGGCCTCATCCAGCTCAGGTGCACGGCGTCAGGGCGGGCTTCGCAGAAGCCAGCCTCACCCCCACAGGTGAGGAGACCGAGGCCCTGAGGCGGAGGCTGGTGAGCGGTGGGACCTTCCGGAGCCACAACAGAGCCCCGCAGAGTCCTGAGAGCCTGGCCGCTGCCGCCGCGGGCCCAGGAAGTGAAGATGGTCTGGTGGAGGCAGGGGGCTGACACCACCCGGGTGGTTGTGGTCAGTTCTGGAAGGGCCACGTGCACTTGGCCCCAGTATGAAGGACCAGACACACACAGGGTAGGGGACCCCCTCCAAAACACACAGCCAACGAGGGGCAGCACAGTGCTTCCGACAGGTGGGCTCGCTCACTCCAGACTCGGAGGCGTCACTTACACCCGCCGCCGCCACTACGCCCAGCTGCTACACTCTGCGGTGTGCTTCCTGGGGGCCACCTGACCTGCGTTACTGCAGGTAACAGCCACCAGAGTGTGCCTGCCCCTTTACAGGTGAGCAAATGGGGCACACAGTGGCCAAGCTCACACTGGAGGCCCTCGGAATGGAACCTGAGTTTGATTCCAGACCCTAGGTTGTGAGTCAGTATGCTATGGCTGGATGTGTACAGACAGGTCAGAGGTCACCGGCTCTCCAGGAACCAGCCAGGGCTCAGGGCTGCGCTGGGGAGCTGGCCCTCCGGTGCCTTCGGGCCGCTCACCTGGAGAACCTCAGCCCCCGTCTGGAACTGGTAGCTCTCCTCCCGGTTGGCCAGGAGGTAAATGGCTTGGCTCACGTGGTTCCTGGCGTCCTGGATCTGAAAACAGCACCGGTGCAGCAGTTACTGGGCCACATTTTGTCGGCTTCAGACAGCCTCTGTGGCCTCTGTCTCCCAGGGGGGGAGGGTGCACACCTGTCCAGCCTGCCTCTGACCCCAGAAGCTCACCTTCTAAAGGCGAGACAACCGCCTGGAGCAGAGGGGCAGGCAGGCTGGGCCCAGTGGTCCAGAAGCTGGAGGGAGCATGGACTGGATCCCAGGAGCCACGGCAAGCCCCGGAGACTCTGGACAGGGTTGTTCTGAATGACCCCACCCAGGGGGTCCTGACCATGCACAGGACAGGCGTCCCTGCTAGGACACTCTCTCCCAAGCTTGCTGTGGCCTCCGGGCCCCGGGCCTGCCCCTGCCTGCCCTGAGGCTGCGCAGTGCTGGGTACCTGCTGCAGCTTCCACTGCTTGTCCTCCCGGAAGGCGAAGTGCAGTAGCTGGCTGTTCCGCGTCATCTTGAGGTTCACGTCCTGACAGGCGACAGCGGGTAAGCCCGGCCCAGGGACCCCCTGCGGCTTCTGGCCACTCAGAGCCCTTCAGCCAGGTCAAGAAAGGGGACTGGGGCAGGGGAGAAGTGTGGTGGCTCAGGCCCCAGAGCTCTGCACGGCCGAGGGCCTCCCAACGCCCTGGCCATTTACCGGTGAAGACGGGAGGCCAAGAAACAGGAACTCAGGCCCGTGAGGAGCCACAGAGAAGCGAAAGGGAAAAGGCTGAGAAAGGGAAGAGCGGGTGGGGACGCGGGCAGTGCCGTGGTGCCCAGCGTCGGGTCAGGCACAGAATGGAGCTCAGGTGGTGGCTGACTGGACTCTGCCAGTGCCCCCGCTCCATGGGGCCCAGATGCCTGGCCGTGCTGCGTGCTGAGCAAGTCCCGGCTCTGGCCCCTTGCACCTCTCACTGGATCCACACAGATCCCCTGGGGAGGGGGACACGGTGGCTTTCATTCTACAAATGAGGAGCAGGTCCTGCCCAGTCGCTCAGGCAGCTCATGGCAAAGCTGGGGTAAGCGGGTGGGGAGGTAGAGGGGCAGGGGACTCACCGCCTGGCTGAGGGCATCCCCCTGCAGAGTCAGCACACCCTTCACCTGGTCTGTGCTGCAACACATGGGGTCAGAGTAGCGCCTGCTCTGTCCCCTACCCAGCAGGCTGTCCCTGGCCCTCCCACCCCACAGCCAATCAGTCTGCAGGGCAGAGGCCCCTTGCCCCAGGGTACCCCGAGGAGGCCTCCCTGTGGGTCTCTACTTGCCCGGGCTCACCCAGAGCTGCCCAGGATGAAGTTTTCCTGCTTGGCTGGCCCCTGAGCGCCTGAGCCGGGCAGGGTGAAACGGAGAGAGGCCTCCTGCAGGGCAGAGGGCAGCCAGGTAAGGTCACTCGGGTTCCACCTGTGCTCCTCCCAGAAGCCCCCAACCCCCGGTCAGCCAGGGAAGGGCCAAGGTGACCCTCCCCAAGACTCCTGGGTACATCCCACCGTGCTGCCCCTCCCTGCTCATTCACCTTCTCTGAGCACCTCCTGTGTGCCCACCCTGGGGAATACCCAACAGAAGTGTGGCCTCCCAGTCACGGAAACCTGCAATTCTGGGCCCCACCACGCACCGCACCAGACATTTTTGTGGGATGACCGGCTTACTTCACAACAGCCCTGCGAGATGGCTGTTGTTACCCGCTTTGTGCAAAGGGGGAAGCAGGCCCGGAGGGGCTGAGTGCTGGCCCGTGTCACAGGCTGTGCGCTCCTGCTTCAACCCGGGGCTGAGCCCAGCCCTCCTGGGTCACAGCGCGGCCCGTGTCCCGCTAGGCTGCAGGTGCCCTTCGGCGGGGCTCGGTGTCCCGTGCTCAGTGGGCGCCCAGCCAACACCCACGGGACGGCGTGGGGACGCAGCCCGGGGGCGGGGCGAGGCCGTGCTTACCTTGAGGATGTCCTGCAGCTGCCGCAGCACGGCGTGCACCTCGTCGTGCAGCAGCCAGCGGAACTCCTCCTCCTGCCGGGACAGCGCGCGGTCACGGCCCGGCCCCGCCGCCCGCGCCCGCGCCCGCCGCCCGCGGCTCACCAGCACGGCCCGTTCCGCTGCGGTTGCCGCCATCGCCGTCGCCGTCGCCATCGCGACCGCCCGCCCGCTCCTCGCGGGTCTGTCCCCCGTCCGTCCGCGGCGCCCGGCTCCACCCCCTCCCTCGCCAGCGATTGGCTGCGCAGGCGCCGGTCCCGCCCCCCAGGCCGTCTCCGTGCCGGTGACTGGCCAGCGCCTCTCGGCCCTCCCTGGCTCACGAGACCGGCGGCTGCGCGAACCCGGCCCGCGCCGGCACGGCCTCAGGCGCCGAGCGGGGTGCGGACGGACGAGGCCGGGCCGCAGCGCTGCCCGCCGGCCCCGCCCCGCCCCGCCGCGACCGCTGATTGGCCCGCGCGGCGGTCCGTCGGCGCTCGCCGGGTCCCGTGGGTGGTAGGCGGAGCCCGCCGGCCGCCGGCGGCTGCCCCGAGGCCCGGGGGCCGTGCGCGTCCCCGGCCCTGCGCGCACGGATCTGAGTCGTGAGGGGCGGCCGGCGCCAGGCCGGGGAGCCCACAGATGCACGCGCACGGCTGTGTTACCAAGAAATGTTTTATTTTTCTTGCAGTAGCTTTGTTAATTGCACAAAATCATGTATTGTTTTTGCCATTTAAACATTATCACACAATCCTATTCTCAAAGACAAATGTTCATTAAAAACAAAGCAAAAATAAAAATTCACAACCTTAATTACCTAGATTTGTCATTTAAAGGAGGCTTAAAGGAAAAATAGGGGGAGGGGCTTTCTTACAAGCTTTCTCACAAGTGTCACATTTTCTCTCCAGAACGGAAGGACTTCAAAACAAAGGTGAAATAGCTTAAACAGAAATATTCTTAAAAAGGGACTTTACAGAACTGTCAACAATATTAAGACAACATTGACTAACCGGATTCATTACAGCATGTCCCCCACCCCCACCCCGCAGTGTCCCCAGGACTCCAGAACAGGCTTTGTGTTCAGACAGAAGTGAGTCCAGAATCCCAGTGAATCGACAACTGTGTGAACCCCAAAGGGCATCTTCCCTGCCCTCCCCCGATGTCTTCTGGGACCCTCTACCTAGGTTCTAATCAGTGAAAAACGGCCAGGGCTGTGAGGGGACCTCACACCACCGCGACCACCTTATATATATATGTATATATATATATAGTTATATATTTCACTATAAATGCTGACCTTCTACAAATTGTGACTTTGGAAAATCCAACCCACGCAGAGGGAGAAAAAACTGACATCCTTTGGGTGACTTCTCCTTGTTCTCATCAGTATTTCAAGCCCCTTCTGGTCCCCTGTCCAAGGAGAAATGCTAGGGCCTTGAGGATGTCCCAGATCTACCTCTGAGGGTCAGTTACAGTTCAGCTTTAGGTCAGGCCCAGTTCTCTTCCCTCCCGACAGACCCCAGGCCTGGGAAGCACCGAAGACCATGATGCTGGCTGGAGTGAAGACACTCATTCCTGAATCAAGAGCTGAGCCCAAGAAATGCTCATCGTTGGTCAGGCTGGTCTGGGCCGGAGAAGGGGCAGACAGACAGACACTGTCTACTTGGGAGGAAAGAGGGGAGGAGAAAAGGGAGGAGAGTGGAGAGGGACATGCGGGGACCCTGCAGGGCAGACTGGAGAAGGTGGGCACAAGGGGCCCAGTCAGAGCGGCTCTCCTCAGAGCCAGGTGACACGTCTGTGGCGTAACGGAAACAGGAAGGAGCCTATTTCTCCCTCCCTTCTTCCCAAGGGTTGGAATGCAAATCCAAACGCTAACACAGCCCGGTGAGGAGCAAGGCTCAGGGCTGCACGGCTTGGTGGCTGGTGGGGGTGCTGGGGTGCTGAGCAGCAGTGAAGGGCACCGGCTTCCAGGCTCACCTACAGGCCGGCTGCTCGCTGCTCCTCCTGAAAGCCAGATCCCTGTCTCGGCAGGACTTTGCCAGTCTCATCTGAGTTCACAAAGGCGCTGACGGAGAGCTGGTTGTCATGTTGCTGTCTCTGACGTGAACATCATCCTCGTCTGCTCACCCGAGGCTGGAGGTCCTGCAGGAGCCTCTCTCTGGAGTCTGTTTCGGCTCCTCTGGGCCAGAGCCTCCCAGGTCCAGTGGGTGTGTGCACTTGACAGCCTCTTCGTTCTGCAGAAAGCTGTGGAAGGCATCCACTTTCACTGCTGATCCTAGTTCCTTGGCTGGAAGGGTTTGGAGATAAGACAAGCTTGGAAGAGGAAAAAAAAAGCCAGGCAGCAGTTTCTGGGTAGCTTCTATCCAGGGGTGAGTGTGTGTGTGTGTGTGTGTGTGTCCAGTACCCAGCTCAAGAGCTTCGCCACAAGCCAATCCTGCTGACGCCCCTCCCTCCCCAGGGCCTCAGGGAGGGGTGCTGCTGTGTGCTGTGCTGACGGCAAGTTTTAAAGTCTGTATAAAAGGAAGTGGAGACAGATGGACTGGTCCAGACTTAAGTCCCAGGACCTCGACCCCACATGAGGAGAGGGGTCCGAGGGAAGAGTAGAGGGGTGGGGTGGGCTGTTGGTGGTTTAGTGGATGTAGGCTCGGTACACGGCAGACATATCGTTGTCAGACTGGTCCAGTGCCTTGGCTCTTTTGTATACCTGGAAAAAAAAGCTAGAGGTCAGCCTCTGGTCACCAAGCTGACTTAAAGGCCTGGACTTGAGCCCTGGAGGCAGTTCTGGATGAGGCTAAGCAGGCGGGTCCTGGAGCTGAGGCTGCTGATATGAATCCTGACTAGACCCTGCGCAAACTGCCCCAGCTTCTCAGGACCCCAGCGGCTGCTCAGATCAGTGGCCTGGTCGGCAGCAAGTGACAGCACGGACCTCCACCTGGCTGTCGTGAGGACTCAGTGCAGTGAGGGACAGAGCGCTCAGCGTGGCCAGGCATGCAGTGATCCCTTCCTGCAGACACCCTCCGAGACTCACCCTGCTACCCGGGGCTGCTGGCCTTGCCCCCCCCCCCCCCCGCCCCGTACAGGATGCTCTCCCCCTGCACTGCCGACTGCAGCCCGAGCAACTCCAGGGCTCTCTTGGAGCAGCCCACTGGACAGCAGCTGCACCTCCCATGACACTCTTCACTATTTTTTTTTTTTTTAAGATTTTATTTATTTATTTGAGAAGCAGAGTTTCAGACAGTGAAAGGGAGAGACAGAGAAAGGTCTTCTGTCTGTTGGTTCACTCCCCAACGGCCGGAGTTGTGCCGATCTGAAGCCAGGAGCCAGGTGCTTCCTCCTGGTCTTCCATGCAGCACTTGGGCCACCTTCTACTGCTTTCCCGGGCCACAGCAGAGAGCTGGATTGGAAGAGGAGCAGCTGGGACTAGAACTGGCGCCCATATGGGATGCCAGCGCCGCAGGTGGAGGATTAACCTACTGTGCCATGGTGCCGGCACCTCTTCACTGTATTTTTAAGATGCTCTACAATTCTTACGTGTCTAAATGCTTTGTCATTATCTTGGACCTCCTTCCATTAAAATTCTAAGTGCTCCAAGGAGGGGAAGGAGCTGATTGTACTCCAAAGCATCTCCAAGGCCCAGAGAGTGCCTGTGATTCAAGGTGGGCCTCGAGACACCCGGTGAATAGGAAAGACCTTGACAAGAATTAAAAAGGGGTCAGTGTTGTGGTGTGGCAGGTAAAACCACTGCTGTGATACCAGCATCCCATATGGGTGCTGGTCCGTGTCCTGGTTGTTCCACTTCCGATCCAGCTCCCTGCTAACAATACGGGAAAAGTAGGAGAAGAAGGCCCAAGTGTTTGGACACCTGGCATCCATGGGGAGACGGGGATGAAGCTCCTGCTCTTGGCTTGGGCGTGGCCCACAGCTGACCACTGTGACCACCCGGAGAGTGAACCATATGATGAAAGATCTCTCCATCTCTGTATTTCGCTTTTACTTTCAAAATAAGGAAATAAATCTTTTTAAAAAATTAAAAAGCCACAGGGAGGGGAAGTATCTTAGCAGTGTGTTCAGCTGCCTCGGGTCACGGTCATCCCTTAGAGTGCTTGATTTGAGTCCTGGTTATTCTGTGCTTCCGTCCAGCAATCTGAAACATGCCTGGAAGGCAGTGGATGCTGACCCGAGTGCTTAGGTTTCAACTACCTATGTGGGAGACCAGAACGGCTCCTGGCTTTAGCCCTGGCTCTTGCAGGCACATGGGGGAGTGAACTAGTGGGTGAAAGATCTCCCTCCCCTTGTCTTCCAACTCTGCCTTTCAAATAAATAAAATGAATCATTTTTAGATTTATTCAAATTCAGAGTTAGAGTTAGAGTTAGAGTTAGAGAGAGAGAGAGAGAGGGAGAGGTATTCTGTCAGTTCACTCCCCAAATGACCACAACAGCCAGGGATGGCCAGGCCCAAGCCAAGAGTTTACTCCAGGTTTCCCACATGGGTGCAGGGGCCCAGGCACTTGGGTCATCTTCCATCACTTTCCTAGGAGCATCATTAGAGTGAGGTGGAAAGTGGAGCAGCCTGGACTCAAACTGGTGCCCATATGGGATGCTGGTGACTTAACTTGCTATGCCACAATGCCAGGCCCTAAAATAAATCTTAAAAAAAAGGGAAAGAGGCCGGCACCGCAGCTCACTTGGCTAATCCTCCGCCTGCGGTACTGGACTCTGTCCCGGTTGCCCCTCTTCCAGTCCAGCTCTCTGCTGTGACCCGGGAATGCAGTGGAGGATGGCCCAAGTGCTTGGGCCCTGCACCCGCATGGGAGACCAGGAGGAAGCACCTGGCTCCTGGCTTCGGATCGGCGCAGTGTGCCGGCCGTAGCGGCCATTTGGGGGGTGAACCAACGGAAAGGAAGACCTTTCTTTGTTGTCTCTCTTTGTCTCTCTCTAACTCTGTCAAAAAAATAAAAAAAAAAAAAACGAAAGAAAGAAAGAAAGAAAAGGAAAAAAAAAGGGGGGGGGGGAGAATAGACAGCCCAGAAACGTTAAGTCTAGAGAAACTAAAAATTATTTTTTCTCTTAATTTCTTTAAAATACATATGAGTATACTTGAAAAAGTTCATGGAAAAATTGATATAAAAGATAAGCTTATTCTGGTAAAAAACAACTTCAATATTTATGAATCTCTTTTTCATAATATGTACTTTCCATGAATTTTTGCAGACTCCTTATATGCATGGACTTCAAATTTTTGGGGTACCAAAATAAATTCATCTTTTAATTGCATTTTCATGAACTTTCTGAAGTATTCTGCTATAGTTGCTTTAAG